CCCTGATTAATTGTTCTAACTGTCAGGAAATTTCTCCTTAGTTTCAGGTTGCTTTTCTGCTTGATTAGTTTCTATCCATTGTTTCTTGTTCAAAACACGCCTTCAGGTGTTTTGGAGAATAGATTGACCCCTTCTTCTTTGTGGCAGCCCCTCAAATATTGGAACATTGTTATCATGTCACCCCTAATCCTTCTTTTCATTAAACTACTTCTTTTAATTAAACATACACAGTTCCTGCAACCATTCTTCATATGTTTTAGTCTCCAGTCCCCTAATCATCTTTTTTTTTTTTTTTTGCTTTAATTTATATGCCGCCCTTCTCCGGAGACTCAGGGCAGCTTACAATGTGTTAAGCAATAGCCTTCATACTTTTGTATATTTATACAAAGTCAGTTTATTACCCCCACAATCTGGGTCCTCATTTCACCTACCTTTGAAAGGATGGAAGGCTGAGTCAACCTTGAGCCTGGTGAGATTTGAACTTGCAGTAATTGCAAGCAGCAGATGTTAATCTGTTAATAACAGTGCTTTAGTCCACTGTACTACAGCATCTTTGTTGCTCTTCTCTACACTCTTTTTTAGTCTCAACATTTTTTTTATATGGCAACCAAAACTGGATCCAATATTCCAAGTGTAGTCTGCCCAAGACATTACGAAGTGGTATTAACACTTCATGTGATCTTGATTAAGTTCCTCTGTTAATGCAGCCTAGGACCGTGTTGGCTTTTTTGGCAGATGCAGTATATTGCAGGCTCGTATTTAAGCAATTTAAGCATCCACTAGGACTCCAAGATTTCTCTCACCAGGTACCACCTATTCTCTGTCTATGCATTTGTTTTTTCTTGCCAAAATATAGGATCTTTCTTTTCTCACCACTGAATTTCATTTTGTTAGATACCTCCCAATGTTCAAGCCTGACAACATCCTTCTGTATCTTGAGCCTATCTTCTAGAGCAGTGATGGCTAACCTTTTTGCCGTCACATGCCAAAAGCGGGGAGAATGTGGGGTGGTCGCACCCATGCATGCCCATACCCATAATTCAATGTGCCCCACGCATGTGCATGCGACCCTCCCTGCTCCCCCCGCTTTTGTACGGTGGGCCCGGTAGGCCTTTTTTCGCCCTCCCCAGGCTCCAGATGCTTTCTTGGAGCCTGGGAGGGCGAAAACAGCCTTCCCCACCACACACCCCGAGGCCATCCAGAGGCCGGAAATGGCCCATTTCCCGACTTCTGATGGGCCCTGAAGGTCCATTTTTTGCCCTCCCCAGGCTCCAGAGGCTTTCTAAGAGCCTGGGAAGGGTGAAAAAGGCCTTTCCCACCACCCCCCGGAGGCCCTCCGGAGGCCAGAAACAGCCCATTTCCCGACTTCTGGTGGGCCTGGAAGGCCTGAAAATCAGCTGGCCGGTGCGTGCATGCATGATGGAGCTGAGCTAGGGCAACGCTCGCGTGCCCACAGATATGGCTTCACGTGCCATAGGTTCGCCATCATGGTTCTAGAGTGTTGGCTATTCCCTATTCATGCCAGTGTGGTGTCGTCTGCAAATTTGATGAGTTCCCTTTCTATCCCCTCATCTAAATTGTTTATGAAGCTACTGAAGAGTACTGGGACAAAGACAGAGCCTTGCGGCACCCCACTGTATGTAAAACTGAGTTGTTGTTTTTTACTGAACTATATACCCTTTTTTTACCCACATTCCCACCCAGAGAGTCCATGCTATCATCATGTCAGAATAGTATTAGCTGTGCACAAATAAAGGAGCTGAGATATTATGATTAAATCACTAGAACTTTTGGCAAAATCCCAGGCCTCTTCATGATTCATTCTTTTAATAGTGGCTGTGGCATAAATCAGCAGCAATATTAATCACAGCTGTGGTAACTAAATCAATTACTTATTTACAAATGTTTAACTTGCTTTTCACTGATAAAGAATCCCAGAGTAGGCTTTAAAACTAGTTAACTAGTTTTAGACTCTAGATCCCACTTAAACTAGACTCTAGTTAAGTGTGGACCCTGGTTAAACTGGGGCACAGTCAATATGGCTACTCATGCATACAAACAGTAGATAGCACACAATGTCATAGGCATCAGGGAAGAGTATAAACCACTTCCTTCAGCACAACTGTACAATAGATCACTGCTCATCTTGCTAATGGCCTCACCAAAAGTAGATGGTCAACCAAGCAATGCAGAAAATGGAAAAAACACCCATGTGTCAGGTGGCATAAAGAGAGGGACACATTCAGCTTGCAGGATACAGATCACCTCCTTTTCTCTGCACAATATAACAATATGTACTGTACATGCAATTATTTCTTAATGCAATTTTTTTGTTCCTTAGAAATACAATAACCAATGAATTAAGAAAATTCATTGAATTTTCTTGACAGAGATTACCTACGGTATATTTAATTATATCACCTACAGGTAAATTTAATTATATCATCTGAGAGAAAGAAATACAAAAATATTACATGTAAAAATAAAGCACAGCCTGTTTTTATTTTGTAAATAAAACTTTAAACTTTGATCATAAAGCAATATTATTAGACTTTCCACTGAATCAAGAGTACCAGCATATATTTAACTCATGCATTTCTAAGAGATATTAAAATCAGACTCTGCTGATAACTAATATTGTAATAACCAAGGTGGGGGCTATATAGAATGCCAAGGATTTAAAAATCCAAATCCATTTAGAAAGCTTTTGCTTTTTTTCTCCCAAAGGCACATATAACAGTATGGATTTTCCTGTGTAAAAGGGGGTCACCTAGTGGCAAGAATAGAAAAGATACTCTGAGATTTCAAAAATTCAGATGAAATTTACCACTCTGACAATCAGTTACAGAATAATCAATAGAGTTATAATTTGAACCAACAACCCCGCGATCCCATACCTGTCTATTCAGAGTACTTAAGGCCAATGTAATTATCTTGGCACCCAAGGAAGGAAAACAAATACTAGCGTTCTTTCCAGCAATAAAATTGCAACGATAACAAATTCAATAACTAGGAATTTATCTCCCTTTCATACTGAAAGGTTCTCATTGTATTAAAAGTTTGAGTGTTGCCAAATCTTGCTCAGGTATTGTCTGCAGTGATTTGTGTATTTATTTATTTGCAGTAGTAAATAAATGTTTATAATAAATGCAATAAAAATAAATGCAATATAAAACTACTTGCTGAGTTTGTAATACTCTGCCATTTATAGCCACATAAAATTATAACATCATAAAATAGCCCCCTACCCCACCTCAAGGACACAGTGGTGTCAGTGACTATAACAAGTTCCCAGAAGCTCTAGGGAAGACTTTTCACTACCTTCCAGAAAACTGTAAAGCAAATTGCCATCCAGATCTTCTGATAAACAACAAATAGTTTTTCACGATCAACAATAGTCAATTTGTTCAGCAATTGTTCAAAATTATTGCAGCACTGAAAAAATGGATGTATGACCAGTCCTCTAAGATCTAGCCAAGGCAGCATCACATGACTACAATCCAGACACTTGGCTACCTAGCTAATAATTATGATGCTGTAGGGAACTGTGATCACTTGATCACCATTTGTGACCTTCCCTGCTGGTTTCCCACAAGCAAAGTCAATGTGGAAGCCAGCAAGGAAGATTGCTAGTCGTTCCAGTAAGACACTTCTACAGGTAGCACACCCATCTGCCAACAGTCTCCACCGGCTCACATTGGGCTTCCCAGGGCTTCCCCCATAGCATCCTGCTCTCTTATTTGGGACTCCTGCCACTTCATATTTAACAACTCATACACCTTGAGGTTATGATAGCAACCAGGACTGCCAGGATTACTGTGACTAAGCAACGCAAATATATTGTGTCAAGCTTTATGCCTGCCAATTGCCATCATAACACAAGGACTACCTGTAGTCTAGTTCCCCGTCCTCTGACCTCATTGGAGATGAAGTATCAACATGCTCCTCAGAGCTAAATGAATTAGATTGGCGCTATCTAAATCAGTCAGTCCTGTAAATACCCAGATGCCAACGGATTCATAATTTACAACCAGCACTTTTAATTACATTTGGAAGCCTACTGGAAGCCAGTGGAATGTCCACAAAACTGGTAACAGTAACAGAGCTGGAAGGGACTTTGGAGGTCATCTAGTCCAACCCCCTGCTCACGCAGGAGAGCTATACTAGGGATTCGAACCACCAACTTTTCTGATTGACAAGCTCAGTGTCTTAGCCACTGAGCCAACTAGTCAGGCCAAGTATAGTCTGAACCACCTAGTCAGGTGCTACAGCTAGGCTGTTCATATTTAATAATTGCAACTTCAGAATAGCATTCAAAGAGAGTACATTGCAGTAATTGATCCAAGAAATAATGAGGCATGGACATCCATGCTGATTTTGCATGTAAAGCATCTGCACCAGTGTTGAGTCATGTATGCTCCTTATATAACTTGGGAAGTATCCATTGGATCTGGATAGCAGACTTGAAGCAGCTAGGCCTTTTAAGGCAAATTTACAGCAAATTATGCTGTAAATTCATAATTTCTATGTGCCTTTGTACCTTTATCCCTGGCCATGACAGTGGAAAACAGCCCCTCTTTGACTGAAGGTACTAAGATATTTCTGTCTCAAAGTGCTTGCAGAATTCTCCTCCTAAGCAAGATATGGATATACCAGAGTATATTCACATTCCTTAGTCATGCAGTTCTCTGGGTATCACCATTTCATAGAGAGTGAGAGTGAACTTGGAGATCCCCAACTCCTGTGTAGTACAAGAATCTCCTTGAGATCATAGGATAAATGTGAGGGGGAAATCAGGGGGGTAGTGAATAAGGAACAATTTTGCCCTCTTAGATTTCTTAAAGGAAATTAAAAATATACACAAAATAAAAAAGTTCTAGGCAGCTTGACTCCATCTTTCTGAGTCCTTCATTTTCCACTTTCTCTTTCCAGCACTGACGTCAATGAACCTACCCAGGGAGAATTGGCAAGTATTACAAGTCAACAATGCTGATCCTTACCTGATTATATGGCATCAAGTTGTCAAATCCTGGGGATTGCACAGACCATCTCCAGAAGGAATCCATTTACTTCCATTTTAGATTGCAAAAATGAAGGCCACCACCAGATGGGAGCAGTGAGTTAGGATTTTCTGTAATTTCTATTATCTAGTGATCAACTGGATTTTGGCAGTTCAGATAAGGCAGCTCTCATTTATTTTTGTGGACTGCACAATGCTGGATTCCCCCCACCGCCTCTCTTAAAGTAAATACATTATGGTGAACTTTTATTTCCTTCACGTTGTTGAGTTGTGCCTTAGACTACAATGAAGAAAGAGAAACTTGGGCGCTTTTAATAAACTTGCCTTTTGTCTCCCGTTTCCCACTTCTTTTCGATCATTATTTTTTGGTAATATGGGAATGAGAGCTAGAGCTTCCCCAAAACAGGTTCCTTGATACTACGGTAGTAATTTTGTCTCATTGCTATGCAAGTCAAAAGTCATCCGATCAGAATTCAGTTGGGCTATGACGGGGCTACCAACTCCTCCAGTCTCCCAAGCTGCGTGCAGTCAAAGTCTTATTGCAGAGGAAAAGTTGCAAGACTACGACACGCGCTCCCAGCACTCTTTTGCCTTCAGCCAATCATCTCTCACTTTTCGAATTCGTAGCCAATGAGATTTGAAAAACAATCCAGGCAGTGCGGTTCGGAGGGTTCCTATTGGCTCAACCGAAGAACGCGGAGGCAAGATTATTTTCAATTGCTGACCAATCGTTTTCGGATGGCTTCGGCTTTCCGAGGACTCGAGGGAGAAAGTGGCAGATTTGAATGCGTAGCGGCGCTCGAGGAAGATAAAGTGAAAAAGAATTTGGAGCGTTGCTGGATTCTTCGTGGGAAAGGTGAGCAGTGAACTCATACTTCTCATAAAAAGGTGCATTTAAGTTAGGGTTGCTGCTTTCTCTGCATTGTCAAGAGAAAAGTAGCGGGTGTGAACACTGATATGATAAGGAACTGAAAATTGATAAAGGAGATAGAATATGTATGTGTCAGTCATTTGAGATAAGCCAATTCAAGAAACAGGCAAGGCAGGGATTCCAGGAACTATATTAATGTTAATATGGAATCATACATTATTAAAAGTCTGCCCAAATTTCTTTCTGTCCCATCTTGTACTAAATAAAAGCAAGGGCTATTTTGAATTTCTTTTTCACAGTTTCCACTTTTTCAGGACCGAATTTCCTCCAAATCATCAACTAAGGGTTCACTCCTTCCTTTACATTATGATAGATGGAGACAGTAACAGAGTTGGAAGGGACCTTGGAGGTCATCTAGCCCAACCCCCTGCTCACGCAGGAGACCTGTGGCTTCTGCAGTAATCTTATGTTACACAATCCAAAATTAATTTGATGGGAGCCACAGGTCAAAGAAGAAGAGAAATAGCATCATGGGGCCCTCGCACAGATATTTCTATCAGTCAGCAGGACATAAGGGTGGAACCTAGAGTGGAAAAGTTATTAGAAGAGGGTAGACAAAGTTATTGAAAGATTTGAAAGTAAGGGCTAGAAAAGTGTAGAACATCTTACTGGAAATTGGCAAAGGATTTTAGGAGCCGAGAAATATGGTCATAATGGCCACAGAAGTAACATGTACCCTGTAGTTGGAGCACTACTCTGATATTTAACTTGTACCACACTTGACTATTGAATAAATATGTATTGCTGCTTCTTGCCTTTTCTTGGTTTATAAGAATCCACAACTGACAAGGTGAGATCTGAATAAAATCTGGTTTCAAAAAGGGCAAGAAGCTTTAATTATTGCATTATGTTGTGAGAAACATACCTAAGATTATCTAGTAGGGAAAGACAGTTCCATGAACTTGGAAGGTGACCTTTGCATTTTATTTGGGTGGCCATGTAAATGTTCTTAATTTAAAAAATATAGCATATATAGATCACTTTTACAGGTATTGAGGCATTGTAGAAGTGCAATGCTTCCCTGAGTTAGATTGTTTTAGGGGGTCTCTGGAGGTTTGTTGATGTTTTAAAATATTACTATTTATAAATATGCAGGCAGAGCATAATCAATGTTAAACAGTTCAGGGAAGCGGCTAACAAAACTCTTAGGAATACTGTTTCCCCAAAAGAAAACTCTTTGCTTAAACTAATGCAAAACAGTTGCAGAAATGTAAAGAACTGACCCACGATGATGGGAAAGGAAATAGGATAACAATCAGAATGCTTACTTAGCTATTTCTAGCAAAAGAAGAAACTGGAATAAAACCAAATGGAATTGCCTGTGTGCAAATAACATTCCAATGATCCTTGTTACATAATCCTGATTTCCCTTCCTAGTTGATCTCTTAGGTAGCAGAATGGATTTTGCATGAATCTTACTCAAAACTACTATATATACCATTTGGTTCAATGAGACTAATTCCTATGTAAGCATGAATTACTGTGTGATTTGAAACACATCTATCCTTCATTTTAGTCATGTAAGTATAATTTTAGACACTGAAAAACAATTCCTTTCTCCATTTTATAATGTCTCTTATGTATTAGGAGAGTGAAATCTGGTGACATGAGCTGGGTTGTGGAAGAGTGGAAAGAGGGTCTTTCCACCAGAGTCCTTCAGAAAATTCATGACCTTGAAAGTCAAGTTGAGAAATTTAAAAAGGAACGTCAGCAAAGGCAATTTCAGCTGGAATCTCTGGAGGCAGCTTTGGAAAAACAGAAGCAGAAGGTAGCATAATTACTGTATAGCACATCGCTTTTTGAAAAAAAATACCATTATCACATTTCTCATAACTCCTGTGTTGATTAAAAGCTTGCATACTAAAAGCAGAGAGGTTGCTGTTGTTTTTAGCAGGTGCTTATTTCATAACTAGCTGTTACCTGAGGGGAAAAAACGTTCATCCAAAATGTTGCCCTTTATTCTTGGAGATTAAATAAAAGGGTAAAATTTAATTGGGTATTCATAGGCCACAAACTGTTGGTGTCTTCATGTAGGGAAACAACAGAACATAATTACAATTCCTCAACCATGTTTTCCAGTATTTCTGTTTGGAAAAAAAATACTTTCTATTGGTATTTACATCAGGGGTGTCAAACTCGCATTGTCTCGGCAGCGTCACGTGACATATCAGGACTTTTCCCTCCTTCGCTAAAACGGACATGACGCATCTGGCCTGTGGGCTGAGAGTTTGACAGCCCTGTTTTACATTAAAAGGGATGTTCCTTTTTGATCATGTTTTGTGTAGCTCCAGTTAAAAGTTAACTAGGTGTTGAAAAAAATGAACACACAATGTTTAAACTGGTCAAAGACAACCCTTGGCTCATAAGTCATATGGGCGAGACAAGGATGAAAACTTATTTGTTCAATTTCCTTGGATATAGCAATGGAAATGAATTCACATGCATTAAAAATTATATGCAACATTTGGAAGGCTTAAGGGCCAGAGCAAAAGGTTTATGGAGCTTGAGACTATGGCTAAATATCTAGGAGCTGAGATAAGAATAACATAGTTTTCTACTTTCATCTGATTTTTAAAACCAAAATGCCTAAGAAGACTGAGTCAGACTCGAATATTATGGAAGGGTAGTAGACCTGCTTAAATTTCCTTTCAGCATTATTCAATCCTATTGCTTGCCCCTATACTGTTTTATCTTGGGGGGGGGGAGAAATACAGGGGTTTTATGTGATGGGAAAGGCAGCTTGGTACCTGGAGGGATGTGAAGGAATGTCTCTTTTTCTCTAAACTGTTAGGTTAAGATTTCTTTCTCTTTTTCTTATTTTAATTTTCAGAAAGAGAAATAGAGCTGTTTCATACCTGGTTTAGCTCTTGGGGACTCCAGTAGGCTGTTTTTGTGCCCAAAGATGGTTATCTATGCCATGAAATAGGAAAATTAGATAGCTATCTATTCTCTGTAACCATGTGAATCACATATTATTAAAAAAACTGAAGCCTACTGTTACATTTCCATAAAATATAAGTCTACCAAAACTGGACAGCTACTAGTTGGCAACAAAGAGATGTAGGCAACTCCAGGTCTCCAATAGCCACATTGCTGCAGCTGAGATTGGTAGCCCTATGAAATAGGATCTTAAAGCCAGACCCTGTGGTTACATGTTTATGGATTCTTTATTATTCTTTTATTAAGGTTGATAAGGAAAAAAATGAAGGTACAACCTTGAAGAGAGAAAATCAGAATTTGATGGAACTTTGTGATAACCTAGAGAAAAACAGGCAGAAACTTTTTCATGAACTTCAGATGAAAGAATCACAAATTAACTTTCAAGAAGGACAGCTCATTTCAAGCAAGAAACAGGTTGAAAATCTAGAACAAGACCTTAAAAGGTGAACATCTTTTTTAAAGCAAGATAGTAAGTAGGAATGGGTTGTACAGTTGCATTAGCTAGCCAGCACCGAAACCATTGTCATTGTATCTTTAGCAATAGTGACAAAAGAAATTCCAAATCCAATCATATTCCATTAAGGGCACTAAGTTTGATTGGAATTGTATTCATTTAGAGGGCAAAGCTACTCATGCATCATAAAAAGTTAAAATACTTGGAAGCTTTTAATTTAGAACCTACCATACCTTTCAGAGTATAAGATGCACTTTCCCCGCCCAAAAAAAGTGGGTGGAAATGTCCGTGCGTCTTATACAGCAAATGTTGCCGAAGCCCCACCTGCCGGCTCCCAACCTTCGGCCTCTGCCTCCTAGCAATTTACTTCCTTGCAGCAAACAGCCTGGTCAGCTTCCGCACAGCATGATTTAGCACGAGCAGCTGATTGGCGGTTGGATCAGCCTCCCGGAATACCACCTAACAGCTGTTCCATGCTGCGGGGATTGCTGCCGTCCATCAGCGCCATCACCGCCCATTGCCACTGTCACCTATCGCCGCCTCCACGCACCCCATTTTCAGCCCGTTCCAGGCAGCAGGGATAAGCGGTGGTGATCCCCACCACTTGGAATGGGCTGAAAATGGGACGCACGGAGGCTGAAAATGGGACGCACGGAGGCGGCGATAGGTGACAGCACTGGTGGGCAGCGGCGATCCCCGCAGCCTGGAACAGCTGATAGGAGGTATTCCGGGAGGCTGATCCAACCGCTAATCAGCTGCTCGTGCTAAATCAGGCTGTGTTGAAGCTGACCTTGCTGTTTGCAGCAAGGGGGCAAATTGCTGGGAGACAGAGGCAGATTTTTTTTCTTGTTTTCCTCCCCAAAAACTAGATGCGTCTTATACTTCGGAGCATCTTATAGTCTGAAAAATATGGTATACAAAAAAGGAACATTATAGCAGTATTTAAAAGTATACATGGTAAGAGGAAAGTGAAGAGAGACTTCTGTCTTTCTGATAATAACTGCTTGTAGAATGAATCAAGACAAAAGGAGACACCGAGTCCATCATTAATCTATTCAAATTGCTATAATAAGTTGGAATGATGGCCACCAATTTCTACTGCTTTAAGAAGTGGTTGGATAAATTGATGGAAGACAAAACTATTAATGGATCCTGATTATGTTGGCTGTGTTTTCCTTCTAGTAGCAGTGACAATGTGCCTCTCAAGATCATTTTTGGGGAAACCAAAGCTGGAGGGTATTCTGTCCAACTTATGGGCATTTCATAAGCTTGTAGTTTACCACTTTGAATGGAATACTGATTAAATTGGCCTTTGTTCTAATGTAGAAAAACTCTTTTGATGTTTTTTTAGTTACTAATGAATTACATAAAACAATACCCTTTTTTCAGCTTTGTTTTATTTTTGCAAATAGGAACATTTCCCTGTGAAATTATAGTATCCAGTCTATCTAAAATTGGCACTGGAAAATTGGAGCTTAGCATCCCAAACTGAGCATTTTAATAGATAAAATAGTTTTAATAATCTGTGTGTGTGTGTGTGTGTGTGTGTGTGTGTATAACTTTTTGTTCTAGCAGAGTAGGATAAAGTGGTTTGGATCCATATTATAATGCAATGAAGGAAGGCAGTATTAAATTGCAAGCCTGTAATATTCTATATTTGAGGTAAAATAATATTGTCATTTTCCAGTGCTCCCACCAAGATTATTATCTAACCATTTCCTTGATTTTAAATACTTTCTGATAAAAAGGTTACATTGTTTATGTTTTAAAGAAATGTATCCACAGTCTTCCCTTGAAATAGGATTGATTTCTGAGTAACCATACATAGAATTGCTCAGTAAGTTAAGTTTAAATTAATTTACACTGAATTCATTGGTACAAGTAATTTCCTAATGTGTTCCTTGAAATTCAGTCAGCTTAAATTTAGTCTTAAATTGTTTTGTTGCTATCCTGAATTTCTATCCCTTTCATTAACAAAAATAGATACAAATCTGAACTGGAAAAACAACCAAAGACGTTTGGCAGTGGAGATACATCTTTTGAAAATACACCACAGAGAAGCAACACTGGTTCTCCAGCAACAATCTACAATGGTATAAGAGATACATGTATATCTGTATATTTTTCCCCTGGGGATCTTACGAATATAATTCTTTCTTTACTGAAAGCATCTCAATTCAATATCTTTGCCCTTTTTGCCGTAAAAGGTTTATTGTGACATTTTTGTTCAACATTAATAGATTCAAAAATCCAAGAACGTCAAAGAAAATCCTGCAATGAAATGGAAGAAAGAAAAGACCTGAAGGCAGAACCAAAGAGCGTGACAAGTCAAGTAAGACTTTAAAACCCTGTATGGTATCCATACATACTACTTTGTTTCCTCGAAAATAAGACCCTGTCTTATATTTTTTTGAACCCTGAAATAAGCGCTTGGCCGTATTGCCATGTGCTCAAAAGCCCAATTGGGCTTATTATCAGGGGATGTCTTATTTTGGGGGAAACAGGGTAACTGATTTGAAATAAGAATCATATGATTAATAAATAATTTTAAAGTCAAGATTAGAGGTAATAATTGAATAATGTATCTTTGCTTTGCTAGTGATCAATCATAGGAGACTATGCATGGCTAATTATACACTTTTGTAATTTATAGTAATAGAATCTTAAATTGATAAATTGTAAATTTATGAGAAGAATTTAATGGTCTAAATACTAATTTTATCACGCATCAATTACATCCTTCCCTAAACAGAAAATAAATTCAATTTGTGAAGGAAGGTTGAGGATTTCTGCATGATTCAAAACCTCTCTTTTGTATATTAACTGCTCTCTCATATCCAAAGTCTGGGTGAAAATGTTGACCCTACTAAGGGGAATGGAATAGGATAGTGGGGGACTGCAGGTGACTTCAGGTCGTTCATATGTGAAAAACTAAAATCAAGTCTACAGTTGGCTGTTTAATTATCCTTTGCTGAAGCATCTTCTCTATTAAGTCCACTTTCTCTCTTACTTTTAGAAGAAAACTAATGCCTTGCATTCAGAAGGTAATATAACTCGCAGAGAAATTGCTCGGCACCAAGCTTCCTCATCTGTATTCTCATGGCAACAGGAGCAAACTCCAAGCCACCCTTTGTCCAGCCATAGAGAAACTCCCCATAGCGGTGGGTCAACCGAATTAAAATTTTGTTTGGAATCTGCAGGAACTCCTAGTCCTAATATTATAAAATTAAGCAAGAAAGATTTCATCAATTGCAATGTCACCAACAGCAGCCAAGACTCTTCAATCGCTGAGCAACTGAAAACTCAGAACCAAGGTATTTTTAAAAATATTATAAGCAACTTATTCTACATATATTTGACAATGCAATCATTTTTCTGCAATAGACAGCCACTTTGGCTAGCAGTTAAGGCACTAGGCTTGGAACTAGGAGACTGTGATTTGTAATCGCACATTAATCATGAAAGCTGGCTGTCCCAACCGGTATTTCCGACGATCAGCTGTGCCGCGCAATTTAAATTTGCTAGAAAGCAGGAAATCCTGCTTTCTAGCGAATCTAAATTGCGCGGCACAGCTGTTCCCTCTCCTCGCTGTTCTACTTACCTTGTTAAGCCTCCTTTTTCCACGCAAAGTGTGATTTTGGTGCGCACTATGCGTGCGTGCAGCGTGCTTTTGGCATGCACCACACATGCACAGGCAGTGAACTGGTGACAATCCGCGGAGGATTTCACCACTGAATTAATGGATGAACACTTGGTTGACCTGAAAAAATAAGAGGACCCTATATTTGTGGAAATAAAATGCTAGAAAGAAAAAAAAAATTTCCTGCAATGGCACCATAATATTATCCAACTAACCCTTCCTTTTGCACATTCATAAGACAACAGAAGAGTGTACACGATCTCTTGAGCTCCATAGAGTGGGCAGGACTTAAATACCATACTTTTTGAAGGGAGAGTATGAACATTTAAAATGGTAGAAAATAAAGCTTCAGAATTTTAGGGGCTGCTGAGACCTGTAATACCCTCTTTCAAAACCATCTTTTCCCAAAACAATATTTTTTTTTTGTCATTTTGAGTGGGACTAAGGGGCAGAATGGGGGCCTTAATCCTGTGTCCCTTAATTCCCCAGCACCAAAATAAATGGATCCAAAAGTGTCAGCACAGTAAAGTCCTAATATCACCCGTTGCTGCACAATGGAAAGAAGAAATGTGGCTTCCAAGCTGAAATTGATTATCCATGCCTAATTTGCTGCTAGAAGATATGAACATTACAAAAAAGTGTTATGATTTATACTGAGTATCAGAATAATAGTCTTGGTCTAGGGCAGTGTTGGTGAACCTTTTCGGCACCAAGTGCCGAAACGGGAGCACGTGCATGCACGCAGTGGAGCACCAGAAACCAGAAGAGCAGCTCCCCGGTGTACATGCCAGGAATGCCAGAAACTGGAAAAGCAGTTCCCTGGCGTGCATGTGTGCATTGGTAAACTGAGCTTCCGGTTTCTGGTGCACGCATGCACACCGTCACCTGGTCTTCCAGTTTCTGGCATGCATGTGTATGCGAAGACCAGCTGGTCTTTGCGCACATGTGCATGCCGGAAACCAGAAGCTCAACTTCCTGATGCGCGTATGTGCAAAGACCAGCTGGCATGTGTGCGCCAGAACCTGGAAAAGCAACGGGCGATGGATGGCGTGCCCAGGGCGATGGATGGCTCTATGTGCCCCTTCTGGCACGCGTGTCATAGGTTCGCCATCACGGGTCTAGGGGAAAGGAAAGGTTTCAAACCAGAATTCGTCATGGAAAATGTAATAACCAATGTATCGTTTTCACAGAAATAACATCCAGAGTTTTCCTTAGTCGGGGTGGTTCTTCTTGGCTGAGATTATACTTGGCTTTTGAAATAACATGTCACTAACCCTTGGCACAAGCTAGGACAAAAAATATTTTTGTTTGCATTTTCATTTAATTAGAACTAAATATAGTTAATAGGATCACTTTCCAATTGGGGATTCAATGATTTCACCTTTTTGATGTATTGTGGTCAAATCATGATATAATTTGGTAAGGATATTAAGAGGTCTTCTATATTCTGAGGGCCTTAAATTGGGTACCACTGCTCAGGAACAGTATAGATTCTGCCTCTGAAGAAATCCAAATCCAACATGTATCATGGTATACTGTATATATATTTTATATATAATTTTTTATACGTAGAGCTAAGATGCAGAATTCAGGAACTAGAAAATAAAATACAAATTCAGACACAAGACATGAAAGCCAAGGTAATGAAGCTTCAGGATACTCAGCTGCAAATGGAAAAGATGCAGATGGAATTAACTGAAAAAGAGAAAACTCTGAACAAGGCTAGAAATGAAATAATTAAAATTAGTACACAACTGGATCAAACGACTGATCAGGTAATGTGCCTTTTAAAATCTTGGAACCTTTTAAAATTCTAAAAACTGGTATGTATGGCAGACCAACGCTAATTGGCCTAAGAGCCTTGGTGACGCAGCAGACTAAAGTGCTGTTAAGTAACACCAGCTGCCTGCAATTACTGCAAATTCAAATCTCACCAGGCTCAAGGTTGACTCAGCCTTCCATCCTTTCGAGGTAGGTAAAATGAGGACCCGGTTTGTGGGGGCAATAAGCTGACTTTGTATAAAAAAGAACACTGCTTGGGGAGGGCCGAAAGCCCTACTAAGCAGGTATATACAAAAGTATGAAGGCTAATTGCTTAACACATGGTAAGCCGCCCTGAGTCTCCGGAGAAGGGCGGCATATAAATCGAACCAATAAATAAATAAATAAAATTGAGTTAAATATAACATGATAATTATTTGTCTGCATGAGCTGTGTCTCTTAGAAAGGATTTGCATAAACTGTACCCATGGAGTTTACACCCCTTGGTTTCCTAACCCTAATTGCTTGTGGGGGGAGGACCAATTTTTATACTGCACTTACACTGAATGATTGAAGATTGCTGTTTTGAATAATACGTGCAAATCTCAGCTGTTTCGCAAGGTGTTCTTACATTGACAGGAAAAGTAAACTTCAGTTTTTATTGTATTGGCTTCCTTCCTTTCCCTTTCCAGCCATACATACAGGCAATGCTCGACTTAAAACATTTAGTGACAGAATTACAATGGCACTGAAAAAGTGACCCACGACCATTTTTCACACTCACGACTGTTGCAGCATCTACATGGTCACATAATCAAAATTCTGACACTTGGCAACTAGCTCATATTTATGATGGTTGCAGTGTCCCAGGGTCATGTGATCACCTTTTGCAACCTTCAGACAAGCAAAGTCAATGGGGAAACAGGATTCACTTAACTGCAGTGATTCATTTAACAACTGTGGCCAGAAGGGTTGCAAAATGGGGCAAAATTCACTTAACAGCTGCCTTGCTTAGCAGCCTAAATTTTGGGCTCAATTGTTATAAATTGAGAACTACCAGTATATATTCATGTTTTATGTCAATAGAGCCGTGGTGAAGCAGTGGTTAGAAGGCAGTACTCAGTGGTGGGCTCCTGTTAGTTCAGAACAGTTCGGGCATACTGGTAGTTATGACCTGCGGGTGGGCCTGCGCACCCACCCTGGCACTAAGCCGTCTTATTTAGCTGCGTTTTTTAAGCTGCATGCATGCATGCAAGCCATCTGTGCGAGCAAAGCGCATGCGCTCACATTTTCAGTGCTGGGCAAACCGGTTGTTAATTCATGTGCCGCCCACCTCTGGCAGTACTGCAGGCTAATTCTGCTGAGTGCTGACTGCCAGCAGTTTGGCAGTTCAACTCTCACGGGTTCAAGGTTGACTCAGCCTTCCATTCTTCCGAGATCGGTAAAATGAGAACCCAGATTGTTGGGGGCAATATGCTGACTCTGTATACTGCTTAGAGAGGGCTGTAAAGCACTGTGAAGTGGATATAAGTTTAAATGCTATTGCTATTAACTGTTCGTCTTTCTGCCTTAGTTTCAGGAGTTCAAACTACAGTATACTGTGTAGCATTTCTACCTATAATTTTGCCCCATAGCAACAGTGCTCTGAGACATCATAATTAGCCAAAAGCATCCAGTGAGCTTCCATTATGGATTGTAGATTAGATCCTAGTTCTCTGCATTAGCCATCACATCACTCTGGCTATTCTTTCTTAACTACCAGATGAGTACCAGAAACATTTCCCATCCATGTTACCTTTACATTCTCTCTTTATAGCTTACAGCAAAGGAGAAAAAGTTCAGAGGACTCTCAAATGAGCTAAACTGTCAGAAGCAAAATTTTGAAAGTGCGCAGTGTGTTTTACAACAGAAGATTAAGGACAAGGACCAAGAGGTGAGGTGCTGCATTATAGTTACAGGTAGTGCTTCTTACAACCTTTTGTTTAACGATGGTTCAAAGTTATGATGACCTTGGAAAAGGTGAATCACAACCTCTATTTATGACTATTGCACCACCACCATGGGCCTGTGATCACAATTCAGGCCCTTGGCAACTAGGTCCCCTCTTCAACTGGTTGCAACATCCTGTGGTAATATGATTGCGATTTGTTGTCTTATTTTGTCAATTTCCAGAAAAAATGTTCACTGGGGAAGGTAGATTTCCTCAGCAACTAGTTGCAGCTTTAGTAGAGAAGACATTGAAGGAAGCATGTGCTTTCTTAACTGAAAAATAATATTTGAATAGTTAACAGGGGAAACCTGGGAAATCCAACCTTTTGAGAATTTCTGGTTTTAAAATTTCATGTTTATAAGAAAATATTCCATGTTCATCAACCTTCCCTTCCTGATGTTCAGCATCCTTCCCTTCCTGATGTCAGAGTCCTAGTTGTTGCATTTACATGAGTAGACAGAATTGTCCCAACAAAGAATGTGGTTTGGAAACCCAGGTGTCCATAGAACTACTATTGGTGCAGGTAGTATAACAGACTAACTAGCAATTTTAAGTATGTTCAGTTTTGTGTCAGCTTCTGCCTATCATATGTAGAAAAATTTCCCGCTAGATATTGGTCTGTACCATTAGCAGGAATATTTACTCAGTTTCAGAAGTTAAACAGTTTATGGCCTTATAAGAGCCGTGGGGGCGCAGTGGTTAGAATGCAGTGTTGCAGGCTAATTCTGCTGACTGCCAGCAGTTCGATTCTTACCAGCTCAAGGTTGACTCAGTCTTCCAGGTTCGGTAAAATGAGGATCCAGATTGTTGGGGGCAATACGTTGACGTTTGTAAACTGCTTAGAGAGGGCTGTAAAGCACTGAAGCAGTATATAAGTCTAAGTGCTATTGCTATTGCTACTGCTATATATATGCTCATACAGCTTTTTCTATTAGGCAATTTTTAAGCCCATTTATTATCTTTGCATTAGATTTCACAGGCAAAAATACATTTCTGTGCATGTGCACATTCCATATATTTGTTGACAGTGATCAACAATAGATGTTGGAAAACATCTATTTTATTTTTACTGGAACGTGATGTCAAACATTGAGACAGTTTGGTGAATATCAGGCACAAGATGGATAGTTTAGTCTAAATCTGTCGTTAGATATTGTCTTAAGCTAATGAAAAATATTTTTTGCTAGAACGATTATTTTTCATTTTCTTTCCTCTAGTACTAGAATTGTTTTGCAGTGTTTTTTCCTTAATTGTGAGCATTGAAATATTTTGAAACCTTGCTCAAATGACTTTATACACAGCACTAGATTTTATACTCAGTGCATATAAGATCTTACTGATTTGTAACAAGTGTAACATATAGGAACATATCCATGACTTCAGCAATATTTTAATTTAAAATATAGCTACAAATTAATTTTTGAAGAATCTAGAGCTATCTGTTGTTTCAGGACAGAAATAGCTTATGTCATGTGACTCTGGCTGTTCCATGATTTCTAAATTTTGAACCAGTAGTGAACACCCAACCTGGGCTGACAAACATATGACTCTCAGCCCTAAAATTCTTATTCCTGCACAGTTTCTCTATCATTTATATTTTCAGATGTGATCTAGGTATAATTACAGGTAGTCCTTGACTTACGACTGTTCATTTAACAACAAACTAGAATGATGATGACCTTGCAAAATGTAGCACCACCATTATTACTGTATTCACTTGAGTTCAATCTGGGCAACTAGCTTGGCAACTATTTTGCACTTACAACCAGTTGCCAAGTGCCCCGCGATCATGTGATTGCCATTTGCAATCTTCTCTGCCGACTTCCCCAGATATTCATTGGAAGCCGACAATGAAGGTTGCAAGCTGCTGCTACCTGCTTTTCCTAAAGAGCTGCCTTCTGATAGGAACTGAATTCCTTCATCAGCTTGCAGAAATTTCTCTCTGTTGCACTTCATCAAAGGAGTTCCTTTCTCTGCAAAGAGGGGAGCTAAAGTCCGTTGGAGGGGTTCAGAAGTGGATTGAAGCTTTTAGCTCCATTCCTGCATCCTTCTATCCCTGGAGAGGAATTGAATTCTTTTGGCAGGCAGCTATTTCATCCACTGCCAAAGACAAGAGAGGGTTGAAATTCATACAGAGAACAGAGAGTCAGTACAGTAAGGTAAGGAGTGGGGTGCCTCAAGAGCGGATGTGGGGGGAGGCCCTGGAAGGTCCAGCAAAGGCCACGCACAAGTATCTTTCTTCTCAGGGACTAAAAATCCTGCCTGGATTTCAGCAAGGAAGATTTTCAGCTCCTGATGGAGCCTTCCAGAATCTCCACCATCCCCTTGAGGCACCCTGGACTTTGTCCAGTTAAAACACGTGTGATCGCTTAACAGTCACAATCTGGAGTGTGAGGATTGCATCTGCTGAGTGAAGCAAATTTGTGGGCAGTCACATGATGTCTTGCTTAATGATGCTTTGGTCAGTGACAAAGTTTCTGATTCCAATTATGCTTGTAAGTCAAGGACCACCTATATAATACCTTGGGCAATATAGATGCTTGATGGTGAAAGATTCATGTTTCTTGAAAGCTGGATTTTTCTAATATTTTTTAAAATGGACTTTTTCTATGAGTTTCTGTTTTAGCAAGAATATTTCTCTACTATTTACTGTTCAGTATGACCACAAATTAAAGTTTTACATCTTTTATTTTATAGATTTTCACAACAAAACAACAGTTTGAAAAAAATGCCAGGGATTGTGCACAGAAATTAAGTCAACTTGAACAGGCTACACAAATGATGCAGTTGAAGGAAAAAGAATTGAAAGAAAATTATGAGGTAAATTAAAACTATAATAGTAATTATACACCTAGAGCAGAGATGAAACAAGATGGAACATCTAAGCATCAGTGTATCCTTAGATACCAAGCTTCCTGTCCTAATGTTTTTAAAACAATTCTTGAGCATTTTGACCTAGAGTAGAAATCAGTTAAAATAAAGAAATCAGAGATAAAGGCTCTGTTTAAACAAAATTTCCTACGAGGATAGTAAGGGCCTCCTGGCATGATTTTAAACAACAAAGATGACAGGTCCTAAAACTGTTAAAACTAATAGATTGTAGAAAAGTTGATATTAATAAAGCTATCAACCTGGACGGAAAGGATAATGAAATGTCAAGGAATGATATATATTTGAGAACTAGACATTAAATACATTAGCAAAATCTTTGTTAATTGTGATCTCTCTGTATCTTTTCTCTTTTCTTAGTGTTGATAAATATGCCAATATTTTTGTTTGTTTCTGGCCTGGAGACTAGCTACTGTTCAAGCTCTACCAAAATGCAGGAGAACCTTTTGGGACATTCAGCATCGCCTTTCAGACAGGTTGACATTTCCCAGATCTCAATTGCTTAAGCCCACAGTTCCTAAAATGTGCACCATGGCACCCCTGGAGCTCTGCAGCAAACTCACAGGAACACTGCAAGATAGTTTAGTTTGTTGTGACATCCATTTGTGAAATTGAGTTTTGGGCAATCTTTGGCCTAAGGCACTATGGAAAAAGTATTATTGAGACACTGAGAACACCATGAACCAAGAAAGTTGGGGAATTCTATTTTAAGCTAATGGGGAATGATGCGATCTCATTGCAGTATAGATACATCCAATGGCAGAGTTTCAAGCAGCTGCCTGTGTGACTTGATGCTCTCCACATGTGTTAGATTACATGTGATTACAAGAAATAAGTGTTGCTGTCTAGTACATCTGAATTCCACTAGACTGGAAAACAAGGGTCCAGAGCAATTTGGATCAGTACCTTATAGAATTATACGCTTGCTGATGACACGTGCAAGATAAATGGGATAATTTGGGGAGAGTATAGTGCCTTATTGCTTCTTGGTATAAAGTCCTGTGCTAAAGGACTTGTATTGATTTTTTTAAAATCCTGCAAACTTAATTAGCCATATTTATATTCTGGGAGTATTGAATGGTAACCGTTACAAGTTGCAAATCCCATTATACGTTCCATCTACCTAAACTTGATCATACAGTGGTACCTTGGTACTCATCATTAATTGGTCTGGGAGGCACGAGGAGTACTAAAAATGATGAGTGCCAAACAAGCCGCGTAATTTACCACATGACCCTTTGTTTCAGCTGGGAACGACTTCCTTTTCCTATGTTAGCGACCTTCCCAGCATGGCCAACTTCCTGTCTGTCTTCTGCGGCTCCTCTCCTCTTTTTTTGCAGCAACTTTTCCAGCATGGTCAATTTCCCGTCTTTGTGGCCCTTTCCCTTTTCCTATCACAACGCATCGAATACCAAATAAACAACTAGTACCAGGACAACATTTTCACTTCAAAATGTGTCAAGTGCCAAATGCTAGCTAAGAGCTAAGATCAGAGGTACCACTGTACTTGAGAGTTTTTTAAAATAACCATCAACTCAAGAACTTGCTTACTCTCAAAACTGTTAAACACCAAGAGGAAATGTATGAAGTGAAGTATATATGTAATATCAACAAGTATATTTTGTAAAGATAGAAAGGTATGAAAAGAAAAGATGGATGGTCTAAACTAATTTTAGCTATTTATCTTTCCTCCCTCCCTTATCTCCTTGATTTTCTTTGGCTTCTTTATTATTTTTCTACTCTCTGTATAATATTGTTTACCCTAAGTGGAAATTGCATAATGGATTTGTATGTCAAAAATTGCTCAAATACTTTCAAAGGTGGGCCTCTGGAGAGAACATTGGCACAATCTCCTGATTTTCTAACTATTTTGTTTGTTAGAGAGAACCGAGGCAGAGATTGATCAACAGAATCACCAAGAAGTTCAGCCTTGCTCTGATGCTGATTTGCTTCAATTGCTGGAAATACAAACCTGCTTTGCCAGCAAATTTCCAGCTTATGCTTCCCATCCTGGTGGCCCCTTCCCTTACACTTGGCTTGGGTGCCTTGGTGCCCATCTGTTGGTAGCAACTCAATGGATAATTGAGGGCTCGAGACCAACAAAGCTCTGCCAATGCCATCTGTTATCTTAGCAACTCAGGAGTGGGTGGTGCACGAATGTATGTGCCATTTTCTTTTGGAAAGATTCTTTATTTTATTCCCAAGAGGACAAGGTTATAAAGAATAGACCAATGGGCTTTTTAAAAAAAAATGCTTTGAAGTTGACAGCAAAGTGACCTCAAATCTTTCACATTCTCTGTTAGCATTTTTTTTTAAAAAAAGGATGCAAAAACAAACCAACCGAAAAGTCATGCTTTCCAGGCTCTGTAATGGAAAGGATGTCTGGCATTTGATTTAGAAATTCTCAAGATAACTGAGTATCAAAAGGCTGGCCTCTAAGCTATCCCTGATATCGAACCTTGTCTTAGATGCTGGTTCTACTCCAAGACCTCTGGCTGTAGTCTAATTTATCTCTTCTTTTTAAGCTCTGAAAGGGATGCAGTTGGATTGTGACTCTCCAGTATTTTTTTTTTTACCCTGTAGAAACCTCACCATGGCACAATTTATTACAGGCTAGATGTTTCCTTCGTTAGCAGCTGCACTTGGCAATATTGCTGGGAGAGTACATTGACTTTTAATGTAGATTGCCATGTGACAATAGACTGAAAGTATAGGACACTTGGCTACTGGAATTTGACACCTGATAAGGATAAAGATATTTGGGTTGGGATTGCAGGTAATTTCCTTTTCAAGAAAATCTTTCTTTTTTATTCATCAGTTATACTACCTTTTTCCAATTTCATAGGAAACTAAGAAGCAAAATAGCTTTCTCAACTGCCAGACTGCTGAACAACGGCAAGAAATTTCTCAACTGAAAGAAGAACTCTGTAGCACTAAACTATCCCTACAGCAGAGTCAGCATTTTGCTGAAGACCTGAAAAGTAAGCCGTGGGATTTCTGTTGTGCTTAATAATAGACCTTATTTCAATGCAACATTCCAGTGTGATGTACAGTTGGTAAAATCTCATTTGAATGCTATGGTGCACCATTGTAGGTTTTTTTTAAAACAAAAGCAGAAATTGAATTTGCATTATGTCCTGCAATGGAAACTTACCAACTAGTCAAAAAGCCAAGAGTTCACAACTGATATCAGATTTATGACATAATTATTCTCCCTTCTTTAATTATGTATCAATCATGTCATTTTGTCTTGCACCTCCAAAACTTATCTAAAGAAAACTATTTGAACTCTTTCTTCTACACAAAAGAAACTATAGTTCTATCCAAATTTCATAAATGTGTGATTGCTTATATAATTTGCGTATTTCTGTATAACTACTAGACATAACTTATTTATTTTTATTGTGTTATGAACTGTCAGATTCTACAAAAAATGGCTCCTAGCAAGTTATAACTTAAAAGCAATAAAAACATAAAGATAAAATAATAAATGTAATGTTACCATTAATTCCCCAAAGACTCAGAATAATTTTCATCTTTAATAATCTCCAGTAGGTCATCAAGGTACAAATATCATATCATGTGGGCTGCAATAGAAAAAAATATTTGAGACTGTATCCCCCTTCATTTCCCCTATATAGGGGAACATTAAATGATGTTGATGGGAGGTCAAACTGGATGAATTGGGAAGGGTACCCTTATAAGGAGAAAGTATCTTGTATATCTTGACACAAACTGTTTTGACCTCAGAATCTAGTTCATTATCATGGCTTCATTGTAAAGATAACTGCAATATTCAATAAATTGGTTTACATGTTATACCTTTGATATTTCAAACAAATGTGAAAAACCTGAAGCCACTCTAAACACTTGATCCACATTCTCCTTGGCAAGATTTAATAAGTATCTCCTTTCTTTGATCAATCAACAGTTCAATGCTGTATCCAGATGAAGCTTGTAAACCTTTATTTTTCTAATGCAAGTTGCCTGATTTAGATGCAATGGTAAACTGTAGTCTAATATTTCCTGGGAGCATAAAGATAGGAGTAGTTATCACAGGAGCACAGATTTTATTTATGGAGTGTTAAGGCTTCATAGACAGAATTGAAGCCTGTATTTTGTCAGTTTATATTTTAATCTTTAATGTATACTAAGTATTTTGTATTACGTCTCTTTAATGACTCTTGTTGCAGATAAAAATTGCTCACTGGAAAAAGAATTAAAATTGCTTGAAGAAAAACTGAATAAGCAAGATAATTCTGTCAGTTTAGAAAAAATGAGACTTGCTGTTTCTAATGTTGAACATGAACGAGATTCTCTCCAGCAAATTCTGAAGGACAAAGAAAATGTAATTGAAGAGCTCAATAAGAAACTGGAAAACACGGAAACTCTGCAGAAAACTACTTTAGAATGTGAAGACCTTAAGAAAGAGATTATGATTCTTTCTCAGTGGAAAGGAAAAAGCAAACAACTCTTGAATGAACTAGATTTAGAAAAAGAAGAATTAATGAGCAAAATACGCAGTTTGGAAAATACTTTAAATGCTGAGCAACTTAAACATCAGGTAGAGGAAATTGCTCTCAAAGATGAACATGAACAATTTAGTAAACAGCTAAACATTTTTGAGCAGGTGGTAAAAGAAAAAACAACTGAACTAGAAGCACAAAGAAAAGCCTATAGTGACCTCCAACAAAAAACAGCAATTTCTGAGGAAAAACTACAGAAAGAGAGAGAAAATAATTCACTGAAATTATTTGAGTTCACCAGAGAAGTGGACACCTTGCAGAAAAGACTCAACTCTGAAGCAAATGAAGTCTTAAAAAGGGGGGAATGTATTGTCTCCCTTGAAGCATCCTTAGCTTCTTACATGCAAGTAAATGCATTCCTTCAGAAACAGGTTGAAGAACTGGTCCAAACCAGACATGAAATGGAAAGATTTGCTGAAAGAGAAGACCTAAGGCAACAAATCCTCATTCAGAAAATGCAGCAGAAGATCAGTGAATTACAACAAACGGTTTTCCAAAAGGAAGGCCTGCTTTCCAAAGCATTAGAAGCTCTTGAAGGAAAAAACAAGAATCTACAAAAGTTGATTGAGGAATCAAATAGGCAACAAACAGAGATTCTGGATTTAAAAGAGAGTAATGTACTGCTTAAGGATTTGGTCCAGCAACTAAAAGTTATGGGCTCAAAGGAGCCAAATGTACCTATCAAAATATCCTCAGAACAAGGTGAAACCGAAGGACTTCAGAATGAAAGTTCCATGCTTGAGAATACTGTCAATATTTTGGAAGAAAAAAACTTAAACATGAAGCAAGGAGTCTCCAAAAGTTTCAAAGAAAAGAAGGAAAGCCTTTTGAAGTTATCACGAGGAAAGCAAGAGGAGAGCTTGTTGCTGCCAGAAGCTGATGAAAAAGTAGAAAGGAAAAGTACAAACGAAGATTATTTAGAAAGTGTTGCAAGGAATCAGACTTGCAATTTGAAGGTACAAAAAGCCATATTTGATACACAAGAGAAACAGCTTATGAACAAATGTGAGCAATTGCAGAATAAGCCAATGTCCTTGGAGAAGAAAAAGAATACTTTACTTTGGCAACTTGAAAATAGACACTCAATATCTGAAGAAACTAATAGTTTAAGACAGGAGGAAACAGGAGAAAATAACAGGCACTCTTCTGTAAATATCTTGCTGCAAACACTGGTCTCAGAAATGAAAGTAAGTGACCATGCAGTCCTTGACTTTGTTTTAAATGAACCAGCATTGGAACAGCTGAGGGTATTTGTAGAAGAAAGAGAGAATGAACTTAAGAAGTATCAAGTGAAGCTTGAACTGCTTCAAATGGACCTTGAGGACAGAGAATTTATTTTAGAAAATTATACTGCTCAGATAAAGGACTTGGAGATGATATTGAGAACTATGGAGATAAAAATGGAAGAAAGTGAAATGGAAAAAGAGAACTTGCTGCATAAATTACAAGCACTTAAAGATTTGCAAAATTCAGCCTTAAAGATGACAGAGAGAAGTGAAGATGACGAATCACCAATGTGTTTCAGTGCTGTTATCAAGGACAATTTTAACCTACAGAAAGATGCCAAGTGTTCATCAGTTCCTCATGATCTGATGCCCAGCCAAAATGATTATCTCCAATTAGTATCCTCCCTACACATGACAATGAGCAAGCTAAATGAGTTGGAGAAAATGTGTGAACACCTGCAGAAAGAAGACTCAACATTAGCATCACAGCTGAAAGACTCACAGTTGGAATGCATCATAAACACAGATATTATGAGAAAAGAATTAATAGAAAAAATTGATAGGCTGAAAGTAGAGACCATTTCTGTTTCTGATAAATTAAGAGAGAAGAGTAAAATGGAATCTGATATGAAGGAAATCCCCTTAATAACTCCAGAAGGTTATGAGGAATTTGATTACAAATATTTGAAATTAATTAACAAAGAAATCAGAACACAGTTGACTGAAATCAAGGAAAAGATCTTTTCTTTGAAAAACAAGTATGAAATTTTAGATATTCAAAACCTGAATATGGCCTTTGAATTGTCAGAGTTGGAATCCTACAATGGGATGCTTAAAGATAAAAATATTGCATTGCCAATAAATCTCAGTAAAGCCAAGCTGGTTTCTTCTCCAGCCCAGATGACAGACAATAAAGAATTTAAAGCATATGGACATTCTTGTATGGAGACTCTGTATGATAGCGAAGTCTTCCCCTGTACAAAACGAATGTTTATGGAGTCTGATTTGGACAACGGTGTGTCATCAACTGAAATGGGACAACCACATCAAAACAGACAAATTGATTTTGAAGGTATTCCTGAACAGTTTAATATTGCTGATGAGTTATATAGCAATGATGCCTGGACCTTCCCCACTAAACCGATAACTATCTCTAAATATTTTCAATGTGAATATTGTGAAAATTCCTTTAAGATGCTTAAGGAATCATTTAGATCTCATAAGATTCTGGAAAGTAAGGAAATAGAAAAGATTCAAGAGCTGCTCCTTTCTGCAAAGAAGGAAGTAGATGGTCTACAAAAACGCAGTATATCTGGCAATGAGTCCTGGCGACAAAAAGTTCATAAAGTGATCCTGCAAGTGGCATCTGAACTTCCAGCTGAGAAGAAACTTCCTGAGCTGTTCCCTCAGAAACAAGGAGAGCTACAAAACCTTGATTTAAGTTCTCATCCAATAATTTGTGCTGATGCTGGCCAAGTAAGTTTACCTAATTTGACTGCTTAATTTGACTGAATCTCTTTAGACATATTCAAGGAAGTGTCCCGCTCCTTACTTTCCTCCTGTGGAGCAATGGGGGTTAGATTGCTTGATGGCAGAGGTAGCTAATCAAGAACTTAGAAAGCCTTAACATAGGCCTTTCCCAAAACACAAACATGGAATTAATTACACTTTGTTTTGCTTTGGAGACAGACTTTTCAACAGCATTAAAAACTGATGCCTTGTGATCAAAAGTAGTTGGAATTAAAGTACAGATTTGTTTTTATATATGAATTCTAAAAGAGCAGCTAAAATACTAATTTGAGTTTGCAACAGTTAAATTAAATCCTTCTCTGGTTCCAGCCATAAGAAAAAGCTATTTTTCTTACTCTGCCTATTCCAAGATAATAAATATTAGTTCTTGTGGTGTAGGTTCATATAGTCCTAGCAACACTTGTAGAACAGTGGATTGAAGAAAACTGCCATAATGCTTAATTTTAGTCCCAATTCTGGCTTTATGGAATTACACATATGCTCACAAAATGAACCTACTTTAGTAGTTAATGTGAGCTACAAGAGGATAGAACATACACTTTGGAAGCAGATCCACAGTGCTTACTCATTGAGAAAAATGAGAAAAATCAATATGCCTAGGCAATTAATAGGAATAACAGTATTAGAACAGCAAATGTTTTCTTCACATCTTGGAACATGCCACTGTGATAACAATTCTGTTAAGGGAACCCCAACTCTTCCTTCTTTGATTATATTTTTCTTCCAGCTTAAATATTTATTTATATTTATTTCTACAGTTTTGTACTCTATCTTCATGAATAGAATTCAATAAAATGTAATATAAATATACAATAATTAAAAACAAAGCATTTGAACAAAATAAAACAATGACATGTTAGTAGAGATATCACTAAAACCATTAAACCAAAACTGATAGGGATTAATAGCACTGAAGAACATGGGAATTGCATGGAAAATGCTCATGTATCTCAAACTAATTTTAATATCTCCCCTCTTCCTCTCCAAAGTTCTATTTAAATTGCAGGCAAAAGTAATCCTGCTAGAAAAACCGCTAGAAAGAGGGTCAGAAATGAAAAAGTGATGCCACCAACATCGGGCCCAAGAAATTATTTCTTAGGGTAAAGAAAAGGTTTCGCATTCCTGCTTTAGGATGGTTCGTTGCACAGCCAACCAGATGTTCAGACTGGATTTGGCATTTTTATCAATCTATCAAGTCCTTCCCAAGGAGCTTGATTAGGTAGATGTTGTCATTTACCTATCTCAGGTCCTTGGGAAAGACTTGTTAAGTGGATAAAAGTGCCAAATCCAGTGTAAACATTTGGTTGTATGTATGACTGATCATATTAATAGTAGTTAACGGTGGCACAATAATTAGAATGCAGTACTGCAGGCCAGCAGTTCGAGTCTCACCGGCTCATGGTTGACTTAGCCTTCCATCTTTCCAAGGTCGGTAAAATATTATGGAAGATAGAAAATCCCTTAAGTAACCAGGCCCTATACCACATTGGGCTTTATAGGTCATAACCAGCACATTGAATTGTTCCTGGAAGCAAACTGGTAACCAGTGCAGCTGACAAAGCTGAGGAGCCTCATGGAAATACCAAAACATGCCCATCAATGATTGATCTCTGCGGGCTGAACTGTTGAAACTTCTGATCTTGAAGGGCAGCCCCATGTAAAGGGTGTTGTAGTAGCCAGTCACAAGGTGATTAGGGTATGAGTGACTGATGGGCAGATGGTGATGATGAAAATATGGGAAGGACATTCCCAAGGTCGACATAAGTTCAATAGTTTGTTATTTATTTATCAACTAGCTTTCATTTGATGAAAATAACTTTTTTTTTTTTAAATTTCCCTTTAGCCAATTTCTGCTAATCCACCAACCTTATGCTATTTGAAAATGGATAGCTTTCTTGGGGAAAGCCTTGGACTTAAAGCTATAAATGATCAAGCAGTAAAAACCTATGAAGCAAACAGAAGACAAAAAAGTTCTGCATATGTAGCAGATATAACAACTAGAGAAAAATACCTTCCACATCTCCAAGCAAATTACCGATTCATACATTTTCCAAGATGTCCTCTTGAATCATCATGTTTTCCTTCAAATCTCAGCACACACACAAGGTTGGTAAACTCCACAGAAAACCAGAAGGCCATTGAAATGCATTGGTTATCAATAAAGAAAGCTGATGATGATAACAATTCTAAGCTTTCGCGTGAGGAAAGCAATAAAATAATTAACATGGCAGTTCAGTATCTGCATTCAGATTTGAATTCAAAGAATATAGAGTTGACTGAAAAGGAGGAAGCTTGTGGAGCTGTGGTTCTTGAACAAGAAAAGGAAGACTTGAGTGAGGTGCTCCAAACTGTAACTTTTGATACACCGCAATTATATTTTAATCTTATGATTTTTGAGCTAGAACTTAATAAGGTTAAATCTGAACGAGAAATGTACAAAAGCAGATTTCCTGATACAACACATACTTTAAAAGAATTGCAAATGATCAAAGCAGACAATAATGAAAAGCTTTTTGAAGCTGAAACTGAACTGAGCAGGGTAAAATCTGAGAAAACAAATTGTGAAGCTTACACTTTGTCCATGGAGACAGATACTGAAAAGCTTCTATCAAAAAGCAAGCGGTTGGAGCAAGAAAAACAAAACATAAAAAATATTTTTGGCCTTCAGGAGCAGCTAAAGATTATCCCTGCAGAGAGAAACCAGTCCCGTCAGGATCTGACTACTTTGTTAAGGTATAAAGAAGCATTGGATCAGGTGTGCAACAAAATGAAGAATATAAAAAAGCTTGACTCAAATCAAATGGATTCTATTGAATTTATCAAAGTATTGGAAGCTGAAGATAAAACCCAAGCAAAATTGCTTCCAGCTGTTAAGGCTGCAGAGGATCAATTATCATTTGAAAATGTTTACTCTATGGTGCAGTTCCAGAATCTGGACAGAGTTATGAGGGATCTCATATTGGAAAAAAAGGCAGCAGAAATTCAAATCAAATATGTGACTGAGGCAAGAGAAGTGAGCCTTAGAAAATATGAAATCTTACACAGCAAGCTAAACATATCTGAAGCCAAAAATGCCAAGATATCCAAGTCCTTGGAAAGTTCGCTAGCAGAAAAACGGGAACTTGCAGCACGGCTAAATTCTGCACAGGAAGAAGCAAATCATTTGCGACAGGGCATTGAGAAACTGAAAATAAAAATAGAATCTGATGAAAGGAGCAGGCATCATCTGGCTGAAAAGTTGAAAGAAAGCAATCGAAAAGCTGACACTCTCGCAGACAAAATTGAGTATCTGGAAAGAGAATTATATATGTCAGAGGAGAATTTGGAAGATGTAATTCTTAGAATGGAGACAGCTAAAGCAGAGACTGAAATAATGAAGGCTAAGATAGAAAGGATGTGTGTGAGCCAACAACAGTTAGAAGATGAAGCCAAAGTCTTTAGGTCAGAGAAAGAGACACTAGAGAAAAACTTGAAAGAAGAACAAGGCAAAGTAACTAGTTTAGAAGTTACTAATTTTACATTAGTAAATCAACTGAAAGAGAATGAAAAAGAGAAGGCTCAAATTAGAGGTGAATGTGAAAATGCACTAAGTTTAATGGAATCACAGCTAAAAAAGTTCTGTGAAGAAAATAAACTCTTTTATAGTGAGAAAGAAACTTTAAAGTCCAAAGAACAGGGTCTCATTTGTGAAATTACTTCCCTCAAACATGACAATATGCAGTTGGTTGGTTATCTGGAAGAAGCACAGTCCAGTAGCTCTAAAATACAGCAGTCGATGGGAGCTTTCATTCAGGAATTACAAAGCTTTAAGCAAACACTGAATGAAAATGTTTCTGTTTTTGAGCCGTTAGTCAAAAATGAATCTTTGCAAGCTATCCAAGATGACCTACAGATGTCTTTCAAACATATCAAAGCAAGTCTAGAAGTCACACCATGTGAAAAAAATATCTTCTTTGAAAAGGTATTGTACAATTTGTATACAACATGGGTAGAATGTCCTGGAGGGTAAAAATGTCTGTATAAAATCAGGATCTCTGTACTGAGGGAAATTTTGTAACAGTTACTAAACACAGTTTAGAAAAGCAGTTCTTGCTGTGTTCATTGGGGCTTGATTCTAGATAACTGCCAAAAATTGTAGCACCTGTCAATATATGGTCCACTTGCTATACAGCGATGTTTCCCACCCTGATGCTCTCAGCATGAATTGGATGAGCTACAGTGGCTTGAAATTCTCAAAACAGAATTCAACCCATCTAGAAGATATAATTATATTGTGCTGGATAGGATAGAATAGAATAGAATAGAATAGAATAGAATAGAATAGAATAGAATTCTTAATTGGCCAAGTGTGATTGGACACACAAGGAATTTGTCTTAGTGCATACGGTCTCAGTATACATAAAAGAAAAGATATGTATGTATTTTGGTTCTTATGATTTTTTTTTAGTTTTGTACACTACCTTAAGTTGTTTTAAAGTGGCAGCCTTATAAACCTAGATAATGATGATGATATTTACCTTATGTGATTAAAGGTAACAGATTATAGTCACAAGATGAATATACAAAGTAAAACCTTGACAAAAATAAAAACATTTTCATTCAGCGTAAAAAAGAAAACAAAGTAAGCATCTGGCTTATTTTTTGGAGGGCATTTCAAAAATCTCTTGCTATCACAGAGAAAGCTTTACATCTGAGATGAAATTGCAAATGAAATGAAGGGGCTGGCAGTAAAATCAAATGGAAAATCAGCTGGCCGGGGTAGAAACAGGTAATGCTTGAGATAATTTAAGTTCAAAGACCACTAAGGTTTAATCAGGTTTGTCTGAAGTGTAGGGTTTCGTGTCTAGGCAGGGGGTTGGACTAGAAGACCTCCAAGGTCCCTTCCAACTCTGTTATTCTGATATTTTGAATCAGAAGAAGACATATTAGAAACAACTAAATTCAGAACTGAATAAATATCTGATGCACTTTGTTTTAGTTATATAAAGTTTCTGTTGTAATAATTACATATATGTTTTAATTATGCAGACAAACAGCCTAAAACAAATGCTTCAACTCCAAGAAGAGTATGATTCTTTCTGTCATTCAATTCAATTGTATTTGGACGCCTATAAAATGCTAAAGCAGGAAAAAGCGGTAATGGAGAAGCAAATTCATGAACTTGAATCTCAGATGAAGAGGATAGCTCCACGTATGTACCATGTTTTGAAAGAAAACAGACTTTTTCCATCAGTAGTTACAGATGTCAATAGAAGGCGAAGAAAAAATGTTTGTTGTGCTGGAATTTAAATGGATTATATTGAGCCAGCACAGTTTTTGTCTATACATATCTGTTCAAAGTATCTTTTATTCCTGTCTCTGCTAAACTACATGGTGGTAACAAAAGGGAAGGCTTCTCACACTTCTTTGGGAGTAAACAGGAAAATAGCATGTGTAAATGCATAGTTACATTTTTGCTGTCCTCCATGTCCTATTTGAACAACTATTCTAAAAACACATATATACTGTAAGAGTGTGAGGTTTATTTTAGTAAATGTAGTAATTTCTAATAATGACCCCTCGTTTTACATAGATTTTCAGGGGGATGTTGGTGCAGAAGAAATCAGGTTGGAGCTGGAAGAATTGAAAGAATCAGTTGAGGAGAAAACCAAAGAGGCAAATCACAACTTGGAAAAATATTGTGTACTGGTAATCAAGCATGATAAGTTAGAAGAAGAAAATGAGATGCTAAAGACACAGGTCTCCCTTTTAAACACTCGTCTCAAGCAGTTATTAAATGACACCAGTTCCTCTCTCCAAAGTTCTCAAAACCCAGCGGAAATCAAAAGGCTTCTTGCAGAAAGAGCAGATGTGCCTAAGATCATTAAGAAGGGAGAAAGGTGTGAAGAAAACAGAATCAATGGTGAGAATCAACTTGGAAAAACTTAAGTATTTTTAATAGTTATCTTCTATAATTATTAATGATTTAGAATGTCACTAATTTTTTCTCATTGTTTTTTAATTAATGTAAATAGTGCAGCACTTAGACTTATATAGCACTTCATAGTGCTTTACAGCACTGTCTGAGCACTTAGTACTTCATCAAGCAATTGAAGGTGCTGCTTATCATTATAAAGCTCTTCATGAAACAGGCTGTCAGGCTCACCAGGTAGACCAAACCAGGAAACCCAAGTCCACAGGAAGGCTACATTTTTATTGAAAGTGACTATAATACTATACCTCCTCTTCTCTTCATATGCCCATGTAAATTAGGGAAGTGTGTGCGTGAGCTTCTTCTGCACATTTTCTCTCTGTTGTGGAATTAAAATATGCTTCACTCCTGGTCACTTAAGTGATGAATCTTACATATCTCCATCAGGATCATCTTCCTTACTCTTTATAAAGAGCCAGGTTACTTATGAGGTCAGTTGTTTTTCTTCCGTCTGTGAGCTCTAGGAGAGTGAAAATGCTTTGGATTTCTTCTATGAAAATGCCATCTTTTCTGTTACCGCATTTGCTCTGTGGAACATAGTTTTAGATGGCCCTGACCTTCCACAAACCCTTAAAAACCTGGCTCTTTCCCTGAGCACTGAACTAAACCATTTTGTCATCTGTTTTATAATGATGATCATACAGTGGCTGGATTGATGTGCACATGGGAGAAGTAAAGTAGCAAACTGAGGGTGGGTTATTTATTTATTAGTGTATTTAGCCACAGCCAGGGACAAAAAGAGAATTGAGAAATAATAATTTACATCACTTAACACAACTTCAGTTGCATGATACAGTTTCCCCCTTTCTTCAGCAAGGAAGGGAAATGTAAGTTAAACACAATTCAAAAGACAACATGCTTGAAATGTTGAGACCCACTAACTCACTGGAGTGTACTCAGATGAATATGGAGAGACTGCACCCTTGATATACCTAGGGCAGTCTTCTACATTCTAGTAGTACCCAGGTAGGTCCAGAAGCTTCCAGCTTGGGGATGATCAAAGGAAATAATTTTTTCAAGTATCTTGTACTCATGTGGGAAGTATGTATGTATGTATGTATGTATTTATTTATTTATTTATTTATATTCATCAAACAAAAGTTACAAATTCAAACAAAGAAAATAAGAAAATCAAAATGTAACAGGGACAATAGGCACACCAGTGCACTTATGCACACCCACAGAAGTTAAGATAGAATGAAATGAAATGAAATTTGTTTTTCAAGCAACAATCTAATTCTAGAAATAGAAATCCCTCGTATTGTTATGCATGGTCACTGGATGTTGTGGTCTCTTAGAATTGGCATGACAATCTACTGACACTGATTTTCTGTTTTCCTTTTATTACTAAGCCTACTAAACGTAAATGTGTAAGGAATTTTCTCAAGTGTTTTTGATATCCTTCCAGAATACGGTTGTCCTTGCATTTCTCATCAAGCATCCATAGAGCCAAGAATGGATCCCTGTCTTTTCAGTCCTAGCTTGAAATCACCAACATCTATTGATAACTCACAAATAACAGAGATGATGAAGACAGAGAATCTTAAAACAACAGCAGAGGGCAGCAGACTACAAAAGGTAAGCAGCATATTAAACATCATCTTGAATGTGTCAAATAAAAGAAATTCAACATTAATATTAGTTAATATTTCCAAGTGCTCCTAAGAGTGTCTTATCAACGAGCTGTAAACTTATTTAGGATGAAGTAAAAAAAAGTGAATAAAAACAGCAGAGATCTTTCATAGTATTTTCTTGATCCCACTCCATGATAAAATCTTAAAAAATACTCTTTCTATGTATGCCTGTGATGGCACATCTTTAAGCCATACATGGGATGTTCTCATATTGCTTTTTCTTCTTGAATGCACAATGCCCAGAAAAATTATAATTCATTTATCAAATTAAAGGATAAACAATAATGAACTGAGTGCCTGAAGTAGGTATCTGTTTCACAACTGCTTATCAAATTGCTGCCTACTCAATAAATGTAAACTTCCAATACGACGCCGACCAGATATATAGGACTTCAAAAGCCGTGGGTGGGTGGGTCTGGAATGCACTATATTTTGAATAGATTCTAAACTTGCTGGTTTGGAAAAATTTTAAATCTAAGTAGGAAAACTAAAATCCTATATGAAACTGGAAAAATGGAACTGTTCTAAAAAAAAAAGAGTAAAAATGCTAGTAATGTTAGGCAACATATGTATAAAAGCAGTTTTTCAGCACATCTTAGTAGCATAGTAGTATAGCTTTTATTGTCATTGTCCATCATGTATACAACAAAATTGGTTATTAATTATACAAAATCTTATTTGCTAGTTTTGAAACTCCCTGTGCAAACAGTTTTTGAATGCATGATTCTTGAGTGGGTTTGATTAACTTACTGGTTTCATACCAACATATATTTCTGTATCTTCCATTTTCCATGACTTCAGGATGTTTACAATGTCTAAAAATAAGTTCAGTAAAATCCCACTAGGGTAAACAAACACAACAGTATATGAAAACATGATGCCCAACAATTCATATACAAAAAATAAAAACAACAGTCCAGCTTCATCATCAGACCAAATTTCAAACCAGAAATCAACACTCAGTCTAAACAATTCATTTCCCCAAAGTCCAATAAATTGGAAACTTCTTGACAGAAAAAAGGCAATAAGGAAGATGCCAAACAAATCAATGAAAGCAAGGTATTCCCTAACATTGAAACTATAAGAGAGATGGATTGTCTTTGGGCCCATATTCCCCTGATTTCTCTCAAGGATGGAATCCTAAACATCTCTCTGGACTCATGTATGGAACCCAGATCTTGGACAGATTTGTATACATACTTTGAGAGTAATGTTAATGGATCAACAGTGTCTCAGGAGGCAAGATCATGTTCTAAATCGAGACTCCTGCAACATGTGGCATTTTCCGGTTAATTTTGCCATCCCAATTTTTCCAAATTTACGAATATCTGTTAGAGCCTATTCTGTTTAAAAATATATTAACATCAAAGAAAAATAACTTCATTGATTCACCTCCTCTGGAAGTAGACTTCTGCTAAACATCTGCTTAAGAACTGAAGGAGCTTATGTTCCTTAATAACCATAAGAGATATCTAAGAGGTAACAGGATTCACATAAACAGAAAAATCAACAGGCCAATAGGATTAATTTTCCTGCTACTTTCATTTGAAATAAAATTCATATACATCTTCCTTGAATAGCTGAAATAACTTGTTTCTCGTGTATGTTTCAGATGAACCATGATCAAGTTGATAGTTCGGGTGAGGGTTTTATTCCCAGATCCCCCCTTTCCATCTCCAACCTGTCATCTCAAGTGATTGCTGAACGATCTGCCAACCATCTTGATATAAGATACTTTCCAAGTACAGAAGAAAATGATTTGGACAAAGCCTGCCATGTACAATGAATCAGGACTGGGTTGATTTTAGACTTGAAATCCCAGCAGCAAAGAATGATTCAGAATGCTAAAAATTGTCCTCATAAGCTTAAATCCATATCCTATGCAATGGGAGAATCCTATATGACTGATGTCTCAACATGTGTTTTACATCGTGGTAACCAAACTCACAGGGTTGTGGGGAAAAAAAGATGAGGAGCATTATGTCACCTTGAGTTGACCAAAAATACAAAGTGGGATAAAAACCCTAATAAATTATCAAACCTGTTTAAACAGACTCACTTAAAAACTGGTTTAACCTGTAGCTCACATTCTTGTACTTTAGAAAGACATGTCAATTATTGTAGGGTTTTTTTTTTCTCATTCCGTTTCTTTATTTTAGGCTTTGCATTGTTTTACTATTTAGTTTGGGGCATTTTATTTGAATGGTATTTGCAGGATTAGTTTTTTCTGTTTGTATTCAAGAAAATAAAAGTGTTAACAGAAGGTTATAAATAACTAGGGAGATAAGAGAACAAACAAATAATAGCTTGCTGCTTATAGAGCCCGAATAAATGTCATCCCACTACTCCCCACCAGGCAAACAACCTTTAAAACCAAGCAGTTCTCACTCTCCAAGCCTATGTAGTAAATCATATTTGAAACAGGAGTTTATGTATCTTTTTATTATCATCTAAAGTGGACCTGTCGGAAAAACCAAGTTGAGACAGATCAACCAAAATCCAAATAGAGGTACAAGTCAATACCAGTATGATAGCACATCACCATCAGTCAAAGCAGTATTTAAATGTAGACATTTAAGAAAAATAAACACAAATCCTATGAGAAAGTTGCAAACACCTTCTTTGAATCTTATCCCATCCCAGATGAGCCAGTTAGAAACATGGCAATAACCAAGCTGTGATATACTCTATGCAGTTCAGGATATTGCCACATGGGGTTGCCATATTACAGACCCAACATCAAATAAAATCTTATCTTTAATTGCTCTAAATGTAAAGCTTGGTTATTTGGATTAATTTACAGTGATTCTAGATCTGGGATGGAGAAACCCAGATAACCATTAACTGGCAGAAAACAGAAACCTGACTCCTGGTTGCTATCTGATATCTGGATGTTTGCTGCCTGGATCTAACTAGTCCTATCTTTGCAGATATGCAGATATTATTGAACTAGTACATTTGCTACTGGTAGCAGAAGTCATTAGAAAACATAATAAATTGCTTCAGTGAGCAAATGCTAGGAATCGCTAGGGGATTTTTTTAAAAAAATCCAAGTGTAACTTCTGAAGCTTATTTCTGGCTTGTCAGTAACAAGATGCTGAGAATTCAGATCCACAGTTTGTTTGCTTCTCCTTGTACCTTGCAGTACAATTGCATTCAATGGCTAAAACTCCAGTGGAGTTTCTACATTAATAAATATACACGTTGCTGAATATTTTGCTTTCAGTTATGCATAGATTTCTGCATAAAGGAAGTAAAATACTGTAAGGGAAATGTCACAAGAGTGACATCTTCTGGCAGATTTTATAAATCACAGATCAGATGATATTTGAACAAGGAGAAGCAAGAAACTTGTAGGAAACTTCAGAATTGTTTGTTGTCCTGTTCTTATAATGTTTATGCAAGATGTTACAAATGTTTTAACTGTTGACCAATTCTATCATCTTAACCATCCTCTCTACACTTGCTGAAACTTCTGTCATGCATATTGAATTTTTTATAAGAATTTATTCTAGTGTAGGGGTGTCAAACTCGATTTCATTGAGGGTTGCATCAGGGTTATGTTTGACCTCAGGGGGGTGGGGCAGTTTTGCTTTTAGTTTGTTTTGCTAGCCCTCTGCCAGCGCAAACAGAGCTCTGCAGGGGCACACGCTGCCCCCCTGGGCTTTTGTTTCAGCCACAATGGCCTCCTGCAGCCCTCTACCAGCGAAAACGGAGCATGTAACTCCCCCCTGAGCTCCATTTTCACTGGCAGAGAGCTGCAGGAGGCTGTCATGGCTGAAAACGGAGCCTGGGAGGGCCGCATCCAACCCTCCCGAGCTCCATTTTCACTGGCAGAGGCACCACAGACTGGTCCTTCACTGTTTCCAGGGTGGCCCCACAGGCCAGATCTAAACACCCCATGGGCCAGATCTGGCCCGCAGGCCTTGAGTTTGAACCCCCTGCCCTAGTGCAAGTATATACCCATGAATGTACCTATATTTGAATGTTGGGACAAATTAATAACCTGGAATATGGAATTATATTCTATAATCTCTTAGGTCTCAAAAAGAAATTCTTCCATTTTTATGCACTTTCAAAATCTTTTGGGGAAATCTATGGCGGGGTGGTGCTCCACAAGCATAAAAGTGCCTCTTGATTGGAGGCTATTTAAAGAATATGAAAAGTGGAGTAAGATTAAATTTGGCCAGACCCGAGACATCTGTAAAAATGTTCATTTTATAACAGGGAGACAAACCTGATTATGTTACGGTACCAAACTTAAGATTTTCTTAACCTGTGTTAAATGTTTATAATTGTAAAATGTATTACTGTTTATGCTGCTCTGGCATTGTTTCTGGAGTTTGTGTATGATGCTTAATATCTTTTTAGACTGAACAGGTATACAAGTGAATAAATATTGCAATAAATAAATAATACTTTCTAACATTAAGCCATGATACTTTTCCCTTGATTTTAATGAAACACTTTACTCTTTCTCAGCAAATTGAGCGGAGCTGAAGAGGGTATGTTTTCTCTAAATTGCTCAAACTATCCAATCCCTATAACAGCAGAGGATTGGGTGGGGGGGAGTCACAATTCCAGTTGCAGCAGTGCAGAGTTGAAAGCCTGTCCCTGTAGTACATGCATTGATTCTGCTGCAGATGCCACTGCATCTGCACAATAAGGCTATTAATACATGACCTTGGGCTAGCCTGCTCAGTCTGTGTTTACAAATCTCTATGGAGGGTAACTCTGCAACTAAACTTCCTTGGAGACTGTGCCAATACAAGAGAAGAGACATCTCCAGGTGTGCTTAGACTGAACAGCTATTGATTTTATTTTTGCAGTCCTGTATGATGTACATATTAGATGCAATCCGATGAAAGCCGTTACACTATGTTCCTGCTGTAGTTTATTTTCAGTTAAGGTAAATACTACTCCGTGCAAGCTCTCTATTTGTTCTTATTAACTATTAGCCTTGGCTAGAAATTTGCAGACATGGTAAGAAGAAAAATATGGATGAAGAAAGATATTTATTACTCTGTTATATCAAATCTAATATCGCAACCTAAGTAGAAGCTTTAAAGTACTGTAAAATGGATAGTCAATGTCAATGGGAAAGGGGTATATGTATGTACACACACAGTATATAAATATATCTCAGAATTTTCTCCAAGAGGACTATCATTAGTGAAAAGAAGCTGCTTGAACAGTTAGAAAGCAAGAAAATAAGCTGTTGCAAAAGGCCATGAATTGCCTACAACTTGGAACTAGAACTTGTTTGGTTTTAATCAGGGTGGTTTCATTTATTTTAACAGTTGCACTGATTTATGTGACCAATTATATCCCAGCACCCTGAGGTTTTAAATATAGTCCTTTTAAAAATAGCTAAGATTAGCTTGCTCTTCTTTTGCCTTTCCTGCACGAGCTGGGAAACACTCCTTAATAAAGCCCAAATACAATTGTTTCTGTGACAGTTTGCATTAATGAAACACTAATAAGAAGAAAAAGGGAAAGAACTGGTGTGCAAGCCAGCTTCCTCCCATGCAATATCAAATATCATTTCTAATAAGCTGGAAGCAAGTTAAGCTCTTTGGAAGAGAAATAAACTCTGTAAAGCTATTTGTATTTTGGAAACAAAGCCTACTACAGAATTTGTATACATCAAATCCAGATTTTTTTCCATGTGGGGTATTTGGCTACAGAAAGCTTTCAGGAAATTCTACCTGACACCAGGACTGAAAACTTGATATTTTATGGATAAAGAATGTTATATGGCAGTGATGGCAAACCTTTTAGACACCGTGCTCATGCATGCCCAAACTGAAAGGTGTGTGCATGTGCAAATGCATGCGTGCATGGACATGCATGCACACATTCGCGTGCATGCACATGCACGAATGTGCACATGCGCAGCAGAGATCCAGCTGGCCAGAGGGAGGCGGGACATCCCAATACTGGCAGCGCAGCAAGAGGTAAGTTCTTTTTCTTTCATGAGCTTCTGTTTCATTTTTTGCAGGGAAACAAAAGCTCACGAAAGAAATGCCACATAGATCTGACCTGGGGTGACAGCACGCGTGCCAGTAGAGGGGGCTCTGCGTGCAACCTCTGGCGCACATGCCATAGGTTCGCCATCACGGTGATATGGGATGAAAAGATACCCATTTGTAACCTTATAACAACTTTAGAGGAGTTACTAAATCTGTCTAGTCTTGCTGTAATGAAGGTTGGAAATCAGCTCTTTATGTTCTTGTCTTTTCTTTGTTCTTGCGCTTTTTATTCTTAGTATTGTTTTTCTTTCTGTTTAGTTTCTTTAAGTTTTAGTTTGTGTTCAGTTTTACTACTGTAATCAAAATCTTTAATTAAAAAGTATACACAGCAGGAAATTCCATATCCTTTGTTCTCTAGCAGAACCCCCACATTTTTGCAGCCCAGATCTGCAAAATTGCCTTGAAGGTATTTGACCCTGAACTGAAAGGACAAGTCAATATAATGGTTGAATCATGATGCAGAAATTAATCAAGTGACCTTATATTGAATTAAATCATTGCTAAGTGCTGAAGAGTCTAGAAAGAAGGAGTGTCAACAATGACATTGGCTTAGGTCTTATTTGGAGGGGGTTGGATCTTCTTTCTACACCAGGGGTCTCCAACTTTGGTTACTTTAAGCCTGGAGAACATCAACTCCCAGGATGGGAGTTGACGTCCACCAGGCTTAAAGTGGCCACGGTTGGAGACCCCTGTTCTACACTGCTGTGGTTCCTTTCTAGACCTGTTTGAAACTTGGAGGAGTGAGAGTATAAATGTTCTGGTACCTTTGCACATTTTGTACCAAAAGGTTTTTTGAGATAAAAGGAAAAGCCTTACCTTTTCAATTTAAATCTTGAACACCTCTACAGACTCTTCCGATAATTAGATGGATGGTTTTTCTAAATTTGCTTAGAACAGGAGTAGGTAACTAATATAAATTAAATAATCCCCTAGAAAGCTACAGGGAATTTATATGGTGCATTCATTTTAAATCATGCTGTCATTATATTGATTTTAAATTTGTTGTGGGTATTTGTATATAAAGAAAAGCACAGTTAAATACAACAGAGAGTCTGACCTATTGATAAAGATTACATATTTTGTCTGATCAAGTCTTGGCTCCTGAGGGAAATGCAGGAGAGAGAGAAACATCTTAACCTTTAAAATGTAGAGCAAAGGAGAAACATTTCTTGATATGTTTTCACGCATATGCATAAAGAACATTTATCACAGATCTGACATTACAATAGTACATAAAGCCTTCATTTAACAACTCTTTGAAGTTAACAATGGATTTTTTAAAAAGCTATTTGCAACCCATTCTCAAAGTTACAACTCCCACACACATATATACGCATCACAGTCATGTGATCACATTTTAGGCACTGGCAACCAACTTGCATTTATGACCAGCTGCAATGTTCCCACCATCACATGACTGCAATCTGCATTATTTTTTTGGCATTTTTCATCAGAAAATGAAATGCCTGCAATGGATGCAAATGTTAAAGAATTTTGAAATCAACCAGTTTGATTTTTCTGATATGAATTTCTTTTTCCCAGTTTGCTTTCATTCTGATAAAAACCGACACTGTCTCTTTGGAACTGAATTAATATAAGGGAGGTAGCAGACTAGTGCGGTCACCATAAGAGGAATATCTACTTGAACAATGGTACTTTTTCCTATATACATATCTAAATGAATTCTGGAAGGTTCTCTAGCTTCCTAGATGTACAGTATGTTTAATTCAGAAGAATTTCTAAATAAAGAATTTCTAAATAAAAAATTTCACTATTAAGCTGAAACATTAAATAGAACTTAATATGCATTTAATCTCTCTGTGCCCATCTTTCTACTGTAAAATATAAGGCACAGGTAACCATGTCAAATAAATTATAATAATTGGCATATAGGAGTCACCCTACAGGCTGTTGGATGGGAATAAAAAAAATTGTCCCAAAGGTGCTTTTTGAAACATGCCCTGTTTGTCCAAAAACAAAAAAACCCATAATTTTTTAATGATCAAAGTCCCTCAAGATAATCAAGTCTTGTTAGTTGATAATATCAGAAGATATTGATGATTCAAGAAATCAGCAATTGGGTTCTGGTAGATTCACATTGCTGACCCTTTGCTGATATCATCTTTCTGTAACAATGCAGTGATACATACAATGTGATTGTCTGGATTTGTTTTCTCATTTTGTCTCTCATAGTTGAGGTCTACCTATGATGACAATTACAGGCCTCTCTCATCTTTTTAAGTGGGAGAACTTGCACAATTGGTAGCTGACTAAATACTTTTTTGCCCCACTGTAAATGGAAACAGTGTAAATTGTTTATATAAATTGATAAATATCACATGATGAAAAGCTACCGTACTTAAAAAGTCTTCATGCCGGTTAAAATAAAAGCTTGCTTTTCAGCCAGATAATTACAACAATGAAATAATAAAGATCAATGTATGAATGCTGCCAGATAAAGATGATCCAAATTATAAAATTATTGCTTGACCTCACAATCTAACATCTGAGATGGTTGTTCTGGTAGAGCTAACATTGCTAGGCTTCAAAAGTCTGGACAGACCATTAGATAGCAAATAAGCTTTCCTGTTCTTTTGAGATAAATTGCATGAGTTACAATTCCAGAACTGCAAAAATGTGGAGGAGCAATAGATGGCAGCGAAGAGACACAGAAAATTCTAAGTCTCCAAATTGTTGTCTAGATATTTATAGTCAACATGTGCTAATTCTCTACTCAGGGGAAGTAGGTTTGTAAGTATCGTAGTGTGAGCTATTTAAGTACAATTATGTACTTACACCTTGCCACACTTGCCCATAGAAGGATCGGTGTTCATAAGAATTGAGAACCTCATTAATATAGTCTACAAAAATACTTGTGCCTACAGGAATTTAGAAATCCACTTTGTATTAGCAGATTAATTAAGGTTTATTGTACTATCTAAATTGCTTTCAGCATAGTAATTTTTTTTCCTATATTTATTATGAAATCTTTACTCTTGTTTGAATACGATACTTTAGAAGGCTATAGATAGGGCCTATATATAATTTATATTAAAGCCACTATTCCCATGTTTCAAGGCAGTGTAACTCAGACGGATCAGGCAGATGAGTGTAAATGTTCAAATCTTCCTCCAGGGCTTGAAAAATTCTTTGTATTTTTACCTTTAAAAAGTGGGGAAGGGAAATGGGGAAGAAAAGAAAGAGAGTTTTAAAAATTGGACTCTTAGGACTCTTTATTATTACTATAGCTATATCCAAGGGTTTAGGTCAGGCTAATTTCCTAGAAATATCTCCTGCACCGGCATAATTTCAACCTAAAGAGCTTCCAGTGTCCAAACATGTCATTATATCTCATGCAATGTGGTAGCTCATAATGAACCAGAAATGCGCGATCTAACTTTCTTCTCTACTTCTCTTCTCTCTAATGAAGCTGCAGTTTGTTTACTTCTATTATTTTTATACCCCAATAACATGAATAAAGATGAGTGTCAAGTACATGAACTGTATAGGACCTCTGTAATTCAGAGCAGGAATGACTAATTGGAACCACATACAAGCTGGAAAGCTTTGATTGTAGATCCCAGAAGTTTTGAGATCTGGTGCTCCATTAAAGCTGCCAACAAATTTATAATTTTTAATGTGAACCAATTAACCGATTAAACACAGAAAGCTGGTTTTATTATCAGCTTTCAATTAAGTCAACTTTTATTTTATTTATGTCCTGTCTGCTTTTTGGAATGTGGCTCCCAGCATGCTGTTCAAGGCCAAATTTGGCTCTCACCCTCCATAAAAGTAGGGAACCCTTGTAGTAAAAAAAACTACCATATTTTTCGGAGTATAAGACACACCTTTTTCCCCACTAAAAGGAAGTGAAAATTTAGGTGCGTCTTATACACTGAATAGGATGCCTGCCCACCCACTGGCCCCAACCCTTTGGCCTCTGCCTCCCAGCAGTTTACCTCCTTGCAGCAAGCAGCAAGAAGAAACAGCTCGTTTCAGCTTCAGCACAACCTAATTAGCACACGTTGATTGGATCCACTTCCCGACTCTCAGCTGTTTTGCTCTCAGCTGTTTTGCCGTGCCTCTGCTGTTTGCTGCAAGGAGGTAAATTGCTGGAGCAGATTTTTTTTCCTTGTGCTAATCAAGCCATGCTGAAAACAAAAATAAAAGTAAAGCAGGCTGTTTGCTGTTTGCTGCAACGAGGCAAAATTGCTGGGAGGCAGAGGCAGATTTCTTTTTCTTGTTTTCCTCACCAAAAAAGGTAAGTGCATCTTATAGTCCAGTGCGTCTTATACTCCGAAAAATACGATATTTCTTGAACATTCTACTTCAGAACTTTATCATCAACCAACAGAATTTCAAAGAAAACTGGATGATAGGGACTGTCTATTTACCTGTTGGGGTGCTTGTTGAACACTATAGAATATATCTTACACTTTTTTGAAATTGCAGGAGGAAACCAGTATTAGCACTTTTATATTTCTCCTGATGTACCCAACCTTCACTTCCCTAAGGGCAGAAGGTATTTAGAATAATAGCGTTGGAAGCTCTCCTAGTCCAATCCCTTGCATAAGCAGGAGACAATATACCATTCTGGACAAATGGCTGTCCAATCTCTTCTTTAAAATCTCCAGTGTTGATGCACCCTCAATTTATGAAGGTAAGTTGTTCCAATGGTTAATTGGTCTCATTGTTAAGAAATTTCTCTTTAGTTCTAGGTTGGTTCTCTCCTTGATTAGTTTGCACCCATTGCTTGTTGTCCTGCCTTCTGGGGCTATGTACTACTATACATAACTTTTGCTACATTTGCAAGAAACATTCATGCTGCTTCCCAACAAATCAGTACCCTATCTTTATGAAAGCATTTGTACATCTTAAAAGTTTCTCCATAAATCATTTCCTCATCTTCAGTAATATTCTACCAATATATAAAATTATCTACTTTGCTATAATTTTCATTATTTATGTATCATTTGCAAATATTCATTCCTGTCAATCACAACTTAGTTTTGATAGATTAATTTTCAGATCCATACTTATTATTCCATAACAGAGTAGAACAGGGGTGAAATGCTCCTGGTTCGGACCGAATCACCTGATCCGGTAGCAATGGAGGCAGGTGGTTTGGAGAACCGGTAGCAAAAATCCCTGTTACCACCCCGCCCCCATGCCCAGCTGAGCCGCACAATCATCAGAGACTTTTTTTTTACTTTTAAAAGCATTTTTTTTACAACCTCTTCGGCTGAAAAAAATGCTTTTAAAAGTAAAAAAAAAAAGCCTCTGATGATTGTGCGGCTCAGCTGGGATTGTCAGAGCCTTTTGAAAGCATTCTTTTACAACCTCTTTGCTGAAGAGGTTGTAGAAAAAATGGTTTTAAAAGTTAAAAAAAAAATTGGCCACGCCCACCCAGTCACATTACCATCACCACCCCACCAAGCCACGCCCACAGAACCGGTAGTAACAAATTTTAGATTTCACCACTGAAGTAGACGCTTACTGTAACAAATTTACAGGGCTATTATCAGTTATCAATTTGTTTATACAACAATATTAAAAGCTCCCTATAGCTAAAACCTGTCTATAGTTGTGGGATGTCACCTTAAAAAAGATGAATTCTAGAGTGCCTGGTTGAGGCATATTACAAATCAATTGCCTTTAATGTGTAATTTTTGCCAAGTACCATAATCTACAGAAATCAATTGTTCTTTAACAGATTTTGTACAGCCTACTGAATGCTATTTACACTACTGTCTGAACCTTACCGTTGCTAAAATTGCCCATTCTATTACAATGATCCCATAGAAAGCCACTCTACCATCCAATTATTCTGCAATTACCTAGATTATCACACCATTGTCTTTATAGAGAATCTGGTTAAGTCTCACATAACCTCTGATTTTGGAGAATGCTGATGAAGAATGCCAGTACAGTTTTATAGCTGTTTCTTTTTCCCAATCAGTTTTTGAGTTTTAAGTCTTCAAGGCTTACCTGAGAAAACCTGCTTTCTAAAGGCTAGCGTTTCAGCAAGCTAATAAAAATGTAGGGTCTTTTTTTTTTCCTTGCCAGGAAAGAAAAGAGTGGTGGGACAAATGATCAAACAGATGTGTCTCCTAGAAACATCTCAATCAATCAGAATAGAGCTGGAAGGGACCTTGGAGGTCTTCTAGTCCAACCCCCTGCTCAAACAGGAGACCCTATGCCTGTGATTGTAAACCTATGGCATGCGTGCCACAGGTGGCATGCATAGCCATATCGGTGGGCACGTGAGCGCAGGTCCAGTACACATGCACATGCTGGCCAGCTGATTTTTGGGCCTTCTGGGCCCACCGGAAGTAGGGAAACAGGGCCTCCTGGGTGAGGGGGAAGCTGTTTTCACCCTCCCCAGGCTCCTAGAAAGCCTCTGGAGCCTGGAGAGAGAGAAAAACGGGCCTACTGGGCCCACTGGACCATCGTGTGGCAGGACCGGAGGGGTCACGTGCACATGTGCAGGGGTAGGGTGCATAAAATTATGGGTGTGGGCACGCACACATGTGAACCCCCACCTGCAGTCTCCCTGCTCCTGGCACACAATGGCAAAAAGGTTAGCCATCACTGCCCTATGCCATTTCAGACAAGTGGCTGTCCAGTCTCTTCTTTAAGAACCTCCAGTGATGAAGCACCCACAACTTTTGAAGGCAAGCTATTCCACTGGCTAATTGTGCTCACTGTTAGGAAATTCCATTAATTAATTCTCTGTGGTCACAGAGAATTAACTCAATCCTCTGTGACCACAGTTGGAAACCAAACTCTGGAACTGGTAAACATTGGGCCAATTTAGGTTAAGATTTTCTAAAAATTAAGGTCTGAGATATTTCAGTTTTTTAGGATGAGGACAACTGTTTACCTTTAGTGGCACACAGGAGTCCATCTTCCAAAAAGTATGTATTTCAGATAACATAAATCTTTCTGGCAAAATTATTCCATGTGTATTTAACACATCCTCTTTTCTCACATGTGTTCAATATGTGCTTTGTACTATTAGTACAGGCTTCATGCTAAAGAAGATGCTTTGAAACTTGGAGAAGTTGAGCATTTTCCCCATGGCTTTATAATTTAACAATGTATGAAAGGATCCACCTCTTAAGGTGAGATCCTAAGTAGAGAGTTAAACATTCTCTCTGACCTTATCTGTTATGTCAAATAGCAGAAATGAAAAATCCAAATATTTGTTGCAAGAAGGATCCTCATTTGGCTGTTCCAGAATGCAGATTGCTACCGATTCAATCAAACATTGTTTTGTTCAGTTGTACTTTGGAAATATAAGAAAATTTCCCTTTTTTTCTTTTGAGCTTATTACCCATATAATTCATTTTGTAGCTGTCGTTTCATGTTGGCACTTGATTTTCTTCTCCTAATTAAAAAGTGTAGTAGCCTAAATAATATAAATTTTTCCAGACATCTTCCTGGAATATATTGCAGTGTTTATGAGTATTACTCACCTCATCAAGGTCACACCTGTTGATAATATGCATCCGAATTATATCACCTAATGACCTTAAAAAGAAAGAATGAAAAAGAAAACAAACTACATCAATAGAATAATAACACAGATATTACTTTATTTTCAAGGTACTTAAAAAATACAAACTGCTGGATCTTCAGAATCACCTAAGAATCTCCATATTTTTGTTATCCAAAGATAAAACTGTCCCCATGAAAAACAAGATCCAAGATCATTTAAAGTGATATGTCTAAAGGGAGATAATTTAATTTCAATTCAATGGGATTTACACCAAGATAAATGTGCATAGACTTACAACCCACTCATATTTGCCTCACTGATAAGCCTCACTGAATAAGCCATGTATTTTGATGCAATATTGTCTAATATTTGCCAAACATCACCCAGCAACACATCATCTATATAAAGTACATATTTATTTATTTATTAAAATTTTTATACCGCCCTTCTCCCGAAGGACTCAGGGCGATGTACAGCCAAACTAAAACAACATATACACATAACATTAAAAACATTTTAAAATATATTAAAAATTTGGCCCTTATATTAAAAAACTACAAACACCCAATTAAAATTCATTTTCTAAGCCAGCCCAGCCTGTTGAAACAATAAAGTTTTAAGGGCATGGCCCATATACAATCATGTTTTAAGATATCACATTTTAATTCAAGCATTCTATACATGAATGCATAACATGAAACAGCATTCAAACACTTATCAATGTTGTGTTTGAGCTATTATTTTCTCTATACGTTTGACCATAAAATTAAAAATGTGTAGCATTGGAAGGAATTTTCCTGAAACAGCCCTATTTGTTCTGCTCAACAAAGCACAAGAATCCAAATGTTGATAATGCATTTGATTTGCACCATGGAATAACTACTTTTGTGATAACTGGAACAACCTTCCCCAACATTGTGTTCTTCTGATTATTGTCAGTATTGTTTCCTGAACTTTTGATATCACAGTTGAAAAAGTTCCAGAAAATAGTAAATGTGATTGTGATGGTTTAAAAAATATGAAGTACTGCATTGTAAGGACCCCCCCATCAAAGGGGTCTATACCAAAAACATTTTCACTATGCAGAACAACCTTTAGCCTAATGAAGCTACTGTCCTACCATATGCTACAAAGGATGATAGGGAATAAAATAATTTCTTTAAACTATATTGGCGAGCAAGGTTCATTTCCAATGTCACCCACATCATGGAATATCACCATCCATTTTTAAGACCATTGAATTAGAGGTAACATTGCTCCTGGGTTTTGCTTATGTTTGCTTATGTGATATACTGTAAGTACCTCCATACAGAAAGTTGGGATCTGTACTAAACAAGTAAATTTATGATCAACAGCTATATTTTTAATGGAATAGATTTTACTTTGCCACATGCTTAATGCACTAAAGTTAGTGCAGTAATATTGGCCACCCTGATACTAATACAATGCTACTTTAGATATCTTCAGTCAAATGAGTTCTTTAAGTATGTAATAAAACAACTTAAAACTTTGAAACACATTCCACTGTTTGCATTTTCCATCTTATGTTTAATCACATGTACATATGTTGGAAATGATGCAAGAAGTGTCAAACATGTATGGAGTTGTCTAGCCTTACGTGTATAACTTTCATGGCATCTTGGTTTAGCCTTGTAAAGAATCATCATCATTCAAGGAAAGAGGGGTGTGAAAAATTTGGCTTTTCCTACTGGAAAAGCCGGTACTGATTACTGGAAAGCTAAGTAATAACAGTGGGTTCTTATTCCTTGAATAAGATAAATTGAACTGATACATGAAGTTAGTTGGATTGTAAGGAGCAAGGGCACCAGAATTTTACATTGCAGAGCTATGAATTTAAACTGCAAATTGTCACTATTGCTCTTTTGTTAGAGCACAGGCATTTTACAAAGGAGCAATTAAAGCATTCAGCATCTTGAAGAATCAGTCAAGCATTTGAATTTGCTGACAGAAAAGTTGTATTATTGCTGTTAGGACAAAGATACAACAGTGCTTAGTTAGAATTTGTTTAGATTGTCCTATATTTACTGTTCGGTCGTTTTACATATTGTGATTTTAATTAAAGAAAGGTATATATTGAAATATTTAACAGTTTATTCCAATTTAGACCCAACACAGGTGGAAGTTAGGCCAACATGAAGAAAATATTTCATCCTAGGAGGACATGTTTTACATATTATTTACAGAAATAAATTATTGGAAAAAATATCTGACTCACTTCTTCCAGTAACAACTTCTAAGCAAAATATAATTTGTAACTTCTTGAAGCAACTGCAGGTACTTCAACTCTTCATTTCTTAAAAAAGAAACAAAAAAAAAGAATATCTGTAGAAAAGCAGCTCTCGTGTTTTAATAATTCTTTTCTTCTTATAACTTACTTACAATAAAAGTGGCAAATATTATTGAAATGAATTACCTAAAAGTCAGTCTAATCATATAGACATGATGTCAGTTTCCTCAACTTTACTGCCCTCCAGATGACTTCAGCTTCCAGAATTTTAACAATCATGCTGGTTAGGAATTCTGGGAGTTGGAGTCCACCTATCCACTGTCCATGGGAGGGAAATAGCAAAACTCGTATCATGATGTCATTATACAAACCCTGCAACATATGTTCCTGTGTCAGACAGCAGGATGCAAGAACAAAAGAATGAAGTTTGGGTCACAACATCAACATATGGAGCCATCTCATCTGTCATTTTACTCAAGAGGCCTATTCACATGTCTGGAGATTGTCAAAGATGCTATAAATTCATAGCTGCATTCACACTGTGTTAAATGAAGGATTTTTTGAGTCATAGTTGCATCGTATCATAAATATTTCTAAGCTATAGGTTTGCAGCTATAGCCCCTGAAGTCTGAATGCTGCAGAGGACAGGTCACTCTTCATTTGCCCCAAGTCCTCCACTTCTCTGCTCGTAACAAAATACCCTATGCCACCAGACTTGAAATTCTGGATTTAGAAAATTTAGAACTACGGCGCCTTCAGTATAACCTAAGCATAGCTCATAAAATCATCTGCTACAATGTCCTACTTGTCAATGACTACTTCAGCTTCAACCACAACAATACACGAGCACACAATAGATACAAACTTAAAGTGAACCGCTCCAGACTCAATTGCAGAAAATATGACTTCAGTAACAGAGTTGTTAATGCCTGGAACGCACTACCAGACTCTGTGGTCTCATCCCCAAATCCCCAAAACTTTAACCTAAAACTATCTACTGTTTTTTGTTTTTTTTAATTTGATTTATATGCCGCCCTTCTCCGGAGACTCAGGGCGGCTTACAATGTGCTCAGCAATAGCCTTCATCCTTTTGTATATTTATACAAAGTCAGCTTATTGCCCCCACAACTGGGTCCTCAATTTACCTACCTTAGAAAGGATGGAAGGCTGAGTCAACCTTGAGCCTTGGCAAGATTCGAACCTGCAGTAATTGCAGGCAGCTGGTCTTAATAACCAGCTTAATAACAGGGTGCCTTAGACCCCTGTACTACCAAGGCTCTTGACTACCAAGGCTACTGTTGACCTCACCCCATTCCTAAGAGGTCTGTAAAGGGCGTGCATAAGAGCACCAGCGTCTCTGTCCTAAAGTTCCCTTTAATTGTATTCATTTTATGTATTCAATTCATGCTTATACTTATATATATTATCTAATATGTACTCAACAAAATAAAATAAATAAATAAAAAGTGTTGACAAAGTTTGTGGGAGAATACACAGCTCTGTCTTCTCCATCTGCCCTTGTCAAAGCCCAAGGAGGCATTTGTCTAGATGCAGTGTCAGGATCAATGCTCTTCTGGTTTTGGCAAAGTCTTTCTTATACCTCCTGCAGTGATTTTTAAAATCACAATGAACAAAAAAAAAAAAAAAAGAGCTCCACATCATTGTGAGATGTAAACATACAAAACCTTTTCAACAAGCCCTAAAATAAGCTTAATATTTTGTTAAAAATGAAAGGGAATAAGTAAACTATCTCTCGAGACAGTTTATAAAGGATCAGCCAATCTGGTGTTATTATGCCTTCAGTCCTCCCCAAAGCCAAGTGCAACATCTGGCCATCAAAAGGTTACCCAAGCCGTTGTCAGAAATCCATTAAGGCAAACCCTAACAACTTTCATTAGGGTATAGTGTGATAGTGAACCAGCACTGATCCCAAATGTGGTTGAAAAAGACTTTTAAACTCAACATCCAGACTCCAGTTCTCCAGAAATTTAAAATAACTTTCTCAACCATACTAGAACTAGGGAAGAAAGTGGCACCTTCTGTAAGCAAAGAGTGCTCTGCTCTCTAACCACCACCCTGCAGAATAAACATGGCAAAATTTATTCCGAGGGCTGCAAAAGAGGGGTAGGTAATCTGCATGGAATGCCTTCCTGATATTTTTTGCATCCCTGATGTGGGCTTTGCATATCACCTGCTCTCATCATTGAGATGATAATATTATCATAGACAGATCATTTATCCTACTTCCAGACTCAGAAGCATCAGGTTGCCCATGGAAAAGAAGAAGCCAGACTACATAGGCCTTTGCCTGGGTCATTCAGAACCCTGGTTAGGTTCTTACAAAGGAGTTGTCTCCATATTTCAGGTTTATTGAAAAAGCCACAATTTTAATATTTTGTTGCACAGGGAACAGTGTCCTTATTAAAAATAAATGCAGAACTCACTTTGCACGAAGAAGTGTTTGAATAGTAGTCGAGTTCCCAGAATGGTTCTATAATTTTTAAACACAAAGAAAAAGACATAAGCAATTGCTTTATTTCATTCATTGCTTTATATTGAGGCTGTGCAAATCACTGAATATGTATTTGCTTTGGCAAACATTTGTTCCAAAACAGCCATGTTGCTTCACTTTGCATTGCAAAGTTTTAATGAATGCTGCAGAGGACAGGTCACTCCTCATTCACCCCAAGTGTTGACAAAGTGGGCGAGAGAATACATAGCTTTGTCTTCTCTAGCTGCCCTTGTCAAAGCCCAAGGAGGCATCTGCCTAGATGCAGTGTCAGGATCAATGCTCTTCTGCCTTTGGCAAAGTACAAGTAGGAAATAACAATAAGCTTCAAGGCAATGCAAAATCCTTCAAGGCAATGCAAAATCATAGGTAGCATCACAATAGTTAGCTTCACAGTAATTACATTTTGAGCATGTGTGCTACGCTGACTATTATTTGCTTTTCTGGGGGAAAAAATCCCCAGTTTGAATGGGCAAGATCATAAGGCACAAAATGTCTCTCTGAAAAGGCCTTAATAATTGATAAAAGGAAAATACATTCATGCAGGTCAACAAAATCAGCTCTTAAAATATAGAATATACAATATACATTGCATATACTTTATCTGTATCTGCATGTATCCCTTTTGTATACCCACAATGAATCAAATCCAGTTTGGATTTCTGCATAGATCATGCATACTGTATTTTTACACACCCTTTGTCTGACAGGATATACTTAGGGACACTTCCACACCACCATTTTTATCCCTCTGTCTGACAAAAGTAGTTTAATATTGATCTGAAATCAATTTTATTGCTGCTGATCCTCAAATTCACACACACACACACACACACACACACACAATCAGCACCTCAACTGGTGATTTGGGGGTTTCTCTAAAAAACTGAATGGTTGGTGTTAGAAGAAGACTCTGCAAAGTGACTGAGGCACTCGCCTTTCTTCCCTTTAAATACCGGTGAAAAAACAGTGATTCCCCAAGATGCCACCACGTTTGAATCTTTGCAGGAAGCTGGAAGGTGCAATGATGAAAAAATTCTGCCAACAGGAAACTAACAATGGGAAACAAGCTTCCACAATACAGCAGTCTGCCTGCCAGACACAGAGCCCACATTCCCATAAGGGACAGATGTTCTTGGTCACATACATATGGAGTCAAAAACCCCACCTCCTTCCTCTGATGAACATAAAAAACTGTCTCATGCTTGGTGCTCTCTGAACTTCTTTGCTTGCAAACATATTTACCCAACTAGGTAACATCATCAGTGAGAACGAATATGGGGTTTACTTTTTATATCCAATAGCTTTCCCTGACAATTTTGATGAGGGTGTGGATTGTTCCTTGGTGGTTCCTTAATTACAGAATTGTTTTCTCCTTGATTGTTTGCCTAGCGTTAATCCCTGCTTATCTGGATGTTGGCTACTGCACTGAAGGAAATATTTCTTTTGAATACATCCTACTGTATGTCACAAATAGCTGATTATTTACCAGATTGGTCCAAAGGCTTCACACTCTCAGATGTGAATGCCATCTCAAATTGAAGACAAATAAAGATTTCTTGTGATCACATGGAAAATCTGCTGTCCAACACAAACATCATAAAAGCATGGTTCTTTCAGGAGGCCCCTGGTTGAAAAGAACCCACTCATATGCTGCATTCTTTATTTCCTGGATTGTAATTTTCGGTTGTTGTTGTTTTTTTAACTGGTATATTGTGTTCCTCGCTTGTTCTGTGTGCTGCCTTGAGTTGCTTAACACTACAAAGCATACACACACACACGCACACACACACACACACACAGAGAGAGAGATTCTGACCATATTCTGCTTTGTTTTAAGCTATCGGGTTAGGCCACAAACCCAACTAATCCAGTTGTACTTACTGAAAAATTGATAGAACAAAATATTTTGCAATATCAGAATGAAGTACGGTATATGTTGTATAATCAATACCTTTTGCTTTTTAAAAAAACCAATTATTATTGGACTACTGTAACACCCTCTACATGGGGCTGCCCTTGGGATGCATCCGGAGGCTCCAGCTAGTCCAGAATGTAGCTGCACAGGTAATTACGGGGGCTTCTCGATACTCCCGTGTAACACCTCTCCTGCGAGAGCTGCACTGGCTGCCGGTGGCATTCCAGATTCGTTTCAAGGTGCTGGTGTTTACCTATAAAGCCCTTCATAGCTTAGGCCCGGGGTACTTGCAGGACCATCTCCAGCTGCTCTCCCACCGTTCCATGCGCTCTCACAGAGTGGGCCTCCTCAGGGTGCCTTCAGCCAAACAATGTCAGCTGACAGCCCTCAGGAGGAGAGCATTCTCTGTGGGAGCCCCAATCCTCTGGAATGATTTGCCCACCGAGCTCAGGACAGCCCCTGACCTCCTTTCCTTCCGTTGTGAGTTGAAGACATGGCTCTTTCGTCAATTTAACTGATCCGTTATGGGTGTACATTATTATAATTTTAAATTGTTTTAATTGGGTTGTTGATTTTAATTTTATTGTGATTTGTATTGATATTGTTTTTGTAAGCCGCCCTGAGTCCCTCAGGAGAATGGCGGCATATAAATCGCAATAATAAATAAATAAATAAATAAATTATGAAAAATGCCAGTAATTGGGGTAGATCCCTGGTAGCTGTTTCTAATTCAGGATGTGCATGGTCTTTTATACCTATAAAAACCTTTGGTGATGAAGTATTTATTTTAAGATTTAAAATCTGAAGATCTCTAATCATTTTTTCCCAGTGACATTGCAAAACTCTCTGGCTCCTAAAAGAAGTAGTAGGTATAAACTATCTCTTTTGCTGTGGCTTCTGCTAAATGAACCTCCTAACCGGCATTTGGTGCTTGGCTGATGTTTTCCAAAGACACGATACAAGCAATGATAATATATAGTGGAAAGAGACAGAATAATTATTGTGCTAAATGTTACATGAATACACATTTGACACGAAATAGTCCAATGAAGTACTTGTATTATCACTTTTCAAACTGTTCTCTTTTTCTGATGTTTATATGCTACAATGACCAAAAAGCAATTGAAAAAGGGAAACTTTAATTTGAGACTTGTGCTCTCTTGTTCTTTTAAAGCAACTCTGCACATCTGCTATTAGACTACAATCACAGATACTGTCTGCAAATTATGGAAGTTTAATTCTGGATGTCTTTGGGAAAATCTGCTTTCAAAGGAAAGCAGCTTTTTTTCTGAAAAGCAAAATAATAGTGTGTTTCTTCCACATAATTTCTGACTACATTAGTGAACACCTGATTTATGTTTTTACATTTTCTTTTAGGAAGGGAGAAGTCTGCATTGGATTGAGTTATGGCTTTTATATGTTTTTAAACATTGTGTTTTCAAAGCAGCTCGGTAATTTTAGGTCTACCGTCACGAAACACCACTGTCATTATCCATTCTGAAATACCAGATTTCCCATAGAAGTACAGTTTTAAATTGCTTTCATAAGTAGTTTTACTTCGAAGAATCAAATAACATTATTCACAACACAATCTAATTCGTGTGTTCTCAGAAATTAGACTCCCTGAATCTAATGAGACTTCTTTGCCAAGTGCATATGAGTAGAGAATTCAAACTTCATTATGGATAAATAAAAAACTGAGCAATGCTCAATACATTTTAATACTACTGTCGATATTTATGAATGTTACTGCCTGCGTAATTTAATCCATTACTGAACAATAAGAAACCTTGAGTGGATGGCATGGAGGGTCTTCCGTATAAGCTCTTAGCCGCTCCTTATCCATAGACCTGGAAGATGAAAAAAAATAAAATAAAACATATCAGCAACAGTGACAGCAGTTTAAAATTTACTTGTCTGAAGCTGAGATTGGTTCAGCTTCACCAACTATTTGTAAACTTTTGATAATAAGCTGGCAAACCCTTTACCTGTAAACATTTCTTGATCTTTTGTGTGATTGTGTATGAGGAGAAAAGCTTTTCTTCCTGCACGGATGGTTATAATATCTATATTTTGAAAGAAATGATTTACTTGCTGTTTTTAAGAGCTTTGGGGTAAAAGGCTGCTTTGTTTCTGTAAACCAATCAGCATGTGTGTCCAGTAGATCTCCACTAGTAGATTTCTTCTTAGGGCTCTGACACAATTTCCCAGGAAACAGGGAAAGAGATAATGCACATGGCTGGAGTGCATTTCTGTATGTACGAGATAAGACTGGACCTTGAATATCTTCTTCCTTCAAAATCGAGGGCTGGAGACTTGCATATGTTTTCTTGGACGGTTTGGAAGGTTTCTGCTCCTCTTTTCTTAAAGGAGACGATCTTGCTCTTGGAGCCAAATTCAGGTGATTTGGTAACTGCTGAGAATTTAGGAAAAATGGATAGAACATTTTTAAAATGTAATTGTCCATCTGCACCCTAGAGTTTTATGCCTCAAATCTTAGAAAGGAGAACAAATATAGTGGATTTGGTTGTTAAAAAACATAGGTGGGAAATCAAATTCTACCATTCCACATTCCAGGAAGAAATTGCTGTTTAGAAGCTTTCCCATGTTTAAAATCAAACATCTCCAATAAAAATTGCAACATAGCAGAGTAAAAGTTTAGCTGGGCTACTTTATCACTGCAGATTTTATTTTATTTTATTTTTTAAAAAAGCAAAGATACATTCTACTTGTGAGAGAAAAAAATCAAGCATATAAAAATTTGTGTAAAATGCTCCTTGGAATCCTCATTCCTACTTCATTCAATTATGGGCCAAAAATTGGTGACAGGTAAATCATACTTTATAAAATAATGATAACAGGATATGATTTGGAATCAGTGGAAATTTATCTTTAGAACTGACATTATAAAAGAGGCTTTCGTCTTCCACGGACAGGTAGATGGGAAATCAAATTGTATCATTTCACACCTAATGAGGATGGTGGATCGAATTATGAAAATATGAGTAGGAAGAAACACTTTCATTGATTCATCATCCTACTGATATACATAATAGTTTTAACTCACAGGATCAGATCAAATCACATGGCTCATTTTGCTGAAGGGGTCATAAAATAGAGTTGGAAAAGACAAATGAAATTTAACATTGACCACAATCCCTAATTAATTAATTATTCTGATTAATTAATGCAATAATATTGTAATATAATCTGAGCAAAATCAAATCAAATGAAATAAGATAAAACTACACAATAGTTTGAAAATAGATTATTCTATTAGTTTGAAAATAGATTATTCTTACTGATGCTGAACTAGCATCTAATAAAAGTGTTCAGTACCTTAGGAAAATAAGTTTTTTTTTTAAATAGTAGACAATTATAGCTTTAAGCTTTCCCTAACTTAATGAAAACCCTAATGGTTTTCATGCACTCATCAGACACTGGAATACAGTCTCTTGGAAGAGACATTCACTTCCTATCCATTGCCTCCAAAACAGGCTACATCAGTGGTGCATTTCTACCGGTTCGCCCCGGTTAGGTCGAAACGGTAGTGGGGCGGCAGGACGCCCCACCCACCCACCCAGATGTCATCATGGATGCTCTGCGCATGCGCAGGTTCTGCACATGTACAGAAGCACTGTGCATGAGCAAAATGAGTGTGTGTGAGCATGTGCTCACAGTTCCGAACCGGTAGCGACGGTAAGTGGAACCCATTACTGGGCTACATAGTATATCATCTTACGTTATGATTCTTAGTGGAAACACCTCTAGAATGACCTGATGGCATAGAATGGATCAATGCTACTTCTTTCTTGAATTTTTCAACAGCTTTGATGAGCTTCTCTCTTTTCTGTTGGTCTCTGTCTGTAATATGAAAGTTTTGACACAAAGAGTTATCGTCTTTCCTTATCATCTTCCAATAAAAGAGACTATCTGGCTCAAGGTTGAACTGTAGAGTTCTTGATGCTCACTAAGCTTGGGTGCCAACTTGCAGATCCTTCTTTACCTAGCAAGATTACCTACACCTCAGCATTTTCTTTAGCATGGTTTAACTATACATTTTTAAACCAAGCTAGTCCAACCACTTGGCTTGCCTGAGCCACACCGAGTGAAGAGGAATTGTCTTGGGCCATGTATAAAATATATAATATAATAAATAACAAACTTCATATATATTCATTATGATCTTGCGGGCTGCATTACTAGTCGTTGAGGGCCACATGCCTGATTTAAAAGGTTTGGGAGAAAAAGCTAAATTAAGATGTCTTGTTTTTTCCTCCAAAAAAAAAAAAAAACCAATCTCTCAGCAAATTTTAGTAACAGATAAGATGTTGTTATTATTAACAATATTGGGCCAAATAATTTTTCCCCTCTAACCTTTCTTTTTCATTGATATTTAATGTGTTGACCTACAAACATTACCATTTTAAAAAGTAAAATATATATAAAAGAGATAAAGACAGGGACAGAGAAGAAAATACAGAAAAGAGATTTAAAATTTCCAGGAAAGGGAAGAAAAAGAAACATAAACAATTGAAAATAGTTAAAATTAGGCCAAACATTTCAGAGGTTGTTAAGTGGAATTAAAATTATGGGGCATACCTTTGTTGCTTTTGACTTGATGAAGGTGGAATATAAATTAATATGGCTTTCTTATATGGCTATCGCTATACCGAAAGTACTTGAAGTTTGTATAATATAAGATTATTAGGTAATCTAACAATATTATTAAATTATTAGAACTGAAGAAAGCAAAAGAATCTAAGGGTGATGACTTTGATTAAATAATCTGATAGCAAGGAGAAAAGTTATTTGAGGGAATCTATTTTTTTTCCTTGAAAAGTAGAAACATTAGATTCATATGTTCAAATTTATTCCATCATGTAAAGAATTTGTACAGAGTAAACATTATGGAGCAGTGTTGGTACTGCATTTACCTGCAGGAAAAAAGGGATACAACAGGAACACGGTAAGAAGGAATTGGTATAGGAAATGTAGTTCCAAATACTGCAAGTATAGACGGGATAGCTAATAAATTGGGTAACATGACTGCAGAAATTCAGAAACTGGGCCATTCAATTTCTGCCTCCTTAACTGCTTTGAATTGTTGGGGACAACATAAAGATATTGCCTGTAACATCTCAATTCAGAATAATAGACCTTGAAAGTCTTCTAGTCCAACCCGCTACTCAAGCAGAAGACCCTATGCCATTCCAGACAAGTGGCTGCCCAGTCTCTTCTTAAAAGTTTTCAGTGATGGAGCAACCACAACTTCTGAAGGCAAGGCATTCATTCCTGACTGTATAGACCTCACTGCTGCATTCTGTCTTATAACATGGTCTGAAACCCAGAATGTGGGATTGCTAAATGGGCAAATGAGTAAATTATAAGAGATGGATTCAATGATCGTATTCCAATGGAGGTGAAATAATCTGGGAACATACAACTATGAAGATAAAAGAGGTTGGAAGATAGTAAACATTTCTCTCCTATCTTGTTCTAACAAAAATTCTATGTATGTGTAAATTATAACAGCTCAGAAGTAATGGATAGTGTATCCTTAAGGTCTTAATTTACCCTGTAATATGATACTTCTTCCAAGCAGATAATAATATACACCATGAAAGGCCATGCTAAATCACACTGGCTGTGTATCTAAACAATCATGCTGCAGAAGCCTATACTTTTAATTATATAATGCCAATTTCCTCCTGCACCATTTTTTTCTCTAACTGGTTTCAATTTCTGAAGGCCATCAACTATCATAAAAAGTCCTCTATATTTATGCTTTGCTATTAATTAAATTACTTTTTCCCACCTTCCATAAGGCTGCTTCCGAGCTGCAAGTTCTGAATTACAATGGACTAAATATTAATAAATTAAGGAAGTGAATTATTGAATTTAAATTTTAACAAGTTAGGAACAGTGAATTATTAAATTAAATGTTAACAAATTAAGAACAATGGATTATTAAATTAAGGCTCAGGATTTATCATAATGCTTTCTGTTTTACGCAATAACCTGTAAAGCATTTTAATGGATGTGTATTTCTCAGCAGTAATCATGTTATGAATAAGAAAACATTTCATCCATTACTTGAATGAACACAGGTTACTGAAAATCCCATCAGACAGAAAGCTGCTAATACCATAAAATCACTCTAATTACCTAATAAAATATATTTTTTCTGTTGCTAAGCAAAGATTAAGTAGGAACCAATTTTGAGAGCTATGAACATTTCTGATATCCAAAATAAATAAATAAATAAATAAAATTTCAACCCCCACAACCCCTTGTACATAAGGCCCGTTAAATATATCACAATTTACAGTGCATTTCTATACAAGTTCATCCAGAGAATACCCATTGCACTTTACATTCATTATGTAATAGTCATCCTTTCACAATTCACTTCAAGTTCAACCGCTTATCAATGACATCACATATTTTAAAAATAATCCAAAAGTGATTCTGCTTTAAATTAAAACTAATGTTTAGTGGCAAAATCAGAAATTGTTAACTTTTTATTTCCAAAAATTGCTCTACTGAAAGTACAGTACCCAGTTAAGTCAGTAATAATTACATCTGAAAACATCTACTTAATATTTCAAAGCAGTGATGTTCCTATAACATGAATCACTCTTGCTATCATTTTTCACTTCCTCAGCCATTTATGCTAAGCTATGCAGATTCTGCTATTTCTCCCATGTTAACATAGCTGCATTTCTTGAATCATTTTAAGATGTTTTTAAGGAAGAGGCAGAATGCATGCTCAGCAAATATTTTGTTCTGTAATAAAAACTAAGCTAAGAATTAACGGAGGAGCTGAGAACTGGAAGAAACGTCTGATATACAGTAATCAGTTTCTTAGATCTGTTGTTCAGAAACCATTTCAAGGTTATTTGGCAGAGAAAGCCATTAGGGCTTATTAAGATAATTCTTTTACCTTAAAATAGGATAGTGATTCCAGAGAATCTTTTCATACATTCTTTTGAGGCCTTTTTTCATTTATTGCTTATTATCTATTAATAGCAACAGCAAAAACAATTTGTGTAGATTTGATGCCATTCATGTACAAGGCATTTTACTCAGAATAGAATTGATAGGACATTGCCCCCCAAAGGATTTACAATCTAAAAATAGACAAAGAGAAAGAAACAAAAAAGAAAGAGGTTATCGTTCTGAAGTTATTTTAATTATAACCTCTTAGGCATAGTTACTTGTTAAAAACAAAAACAAACCTTATTAGTCTATATCAGTGTTGGCGAACCTTTTCGGCACCGAGTGCTGAAACAGGAGCACACGTGCACTTGCAGGGAAGCACCAGAAACCGGATGAGCAGCTCCCTGCGCACACACGTGGAGCACCAGAAACCGGAAGAGCAATTTCCCGGTGCGTATGTGTGCTGGGAAACTGAAGTTCCAGTTTCCGGCATGCAGATGCATGCCAGTCACCTGGTCTTTTGGTTTCTGGCGTGCATGCAGCATGAAGAGCAGCTGGCCAGCGTGCATGTGCATGTGCATGCCAGAAACCAGAAGCTCAGCTTCCTGGTGCATGCATGTACGCCAGGGAGGTGTTCTGGTTTCCAGCACTCCCGCATGCATGAAGACTAGCTGGCCAGAACCTGGAAGAGCAATGGGAGACAGCTGGAGTGTCCAGAGAGATGGCTCTGCATGCCACTTCTGGCACGTGTGCCATAGGTTCGCCATCACGGGTCTATATATTCTATGGGGATGGGTAAGAATGAGAAAAGAGGGACTGGAAAACAAGCCATCTAAGGTTTAGTTAAGGATATTGGAGCTGGATGAGTAAAAATCATAATGCAGTATTAAGTATTAAGATATCAGAGCAAAGGAACAGAGAAAAGTTTATAGTGCATCCTACCAATTGTTCTACATTCTCCTCTCCCTGCAGTGCTATTGGCTCTTATTCTCTTTTGAGTGTTAGGGAGAACATAGCCACCATCTGAAATCTCCACTGGAATATTTCATGACTGTTAAGTGTAATTGTTAGAAGATTTTGAGAATTTATTGATTTTGAAGCAGAGTTTCATGCAGTGTTGGGATTCAAGTAATTTAACAACCAGTTCTCTGCCCTAATGATTTCTTCCAACAACCAGTTTGCCAAACTGCTCAGAAAGTTAACAACCGGTTCTCCCGAAGAGGTGCGAACTGACTGAATCCCACCACTGGTTTCATGTCATCTCTTAATACCTCCAAATTCAGGGTTGTCAAACTTGTGGACTGCGGGCTGGATGCATCATGCACTGACAACGCCCATACACAATTTAGCAAAGGGGAGGAGTCGCGATACGTCACATGATGACGCTGTGATGGACATGAGTTTGACATCCCTATCCAAATTCTTCCCCGACAGTCATGTTTGAAAAGCCTCCTTAGGTGGCAATTGTTCCTCTGTGATCAGTTTATTGCTACTCAGGGATATCCTGTAAGAAACTTGGGAGTTCATGTAACTAAACCTTTTCTTCTGTTAATGATACAATCAGCCGCCTATGAAGTACACACGTCCCTCACTTAAGTTTGAGAGCTGGGGCTAGGGGACAGAGAGAGAAAGAGTCCAAAACAAACATTTCCAGTCCAAACAAAATGAAACCAGACATTATTTGGAAAACAAAGCAAGTTGTACCTACATTTAATGCTTGTGTTCAAACTCTTTGGAGCAGATGAATCAACAGCAGCTGAATTAACAACAACAAGAAAAATGTTTATTTTCTCAATGCAGTATTCCATTTTCAAATGCAGAAAAGAGAAATAAATAGCTTGCTTACAACCGATAGGAAACAGAGGTTATCGAAGCCTGGATTCAGTTAACATCGTAAGGAGTCTTATTTAGATGTTTTGCTTATAAATTAACTGATGATAGCTTCTTTATTCAATATGAAGTGAAAACTTCTACTAGTGCAACTGTAAAAAAAAAGTGTAATAGTGAGATATAATTCATATCTCATATCATAATTCATATCAAGGAATAGCTGTGTGATTTGATTTTGCTTTTCTGTTTGAAGCGAACCCTGTTTCTCAACTTATCCAAGCCAAGCAATCTAGCTGCAATGTTTCAGGGACGTTATCGGCATACATTTTTGTTTTCAAAGTATCCTCCACAACTTTCCCCTTATTTCTTTGGCACTTTGTATACTTTAAAAAAAATGATACACATTAAAACTGTTTCAGAAAGGGAAGAAATTATGCAGGCCTATAAACAAATAGTATAAATAGTTTGGATTTCTGCTGAAAAGCAAGAGCTTCTGTTTTAGCTCAATACAGAGTGGGAACAAATGTTTCTAAACTGTGGTTGCATACGCTTCCAAATTGACCTTGCTACAAACATTATGCATATCCTTTTGCACATGGTGAGCTTACTACTGCTTGAATCTTGGTTGTTAGTAAAAAAAAAAAAAAAGGCTTTACAAAAAGCCTGATGGGAATTAAAAATGGAGGCAGGCAGCTTAAATAATAAGAGGAATTTCCACAGTTCAGCAAATTTTAGTCTAGTAATAATGGATATAGAATAGAGACACTCCTCTTTTTAGGCAAGATGCATATTCTGCAGGTCTGTACAATACTAATTCAAAGCTATTGCCCTGTTAATATATTTTCATTCATTCCTTTAGTATATTAAAGATTATTCTATCCTTTCTTTTCTATATATATCTATACTGGCTAACAATAATAAGACCATTAAGTAAAAAAAGTGAAAATAGTGATTTTTCAATTCACCTAAAAATTAAAATAGATTTGATCAAATATAAAAAATAAATTTAAAATGTATAAACGTGTTCATTCAGGAGAAGACTTCAAACTATCATCTTTAGTGTCAATTTAGCTAGCAGATGCAGAAAGATGTATGAAGGTGAAGAGATGAAAGCCTTTGCGGCTCAGAGGGAATACTTTCTTCTAATTAGTTAATTAAAACAAGGTTATGTGCAGCCTCCCAGAAAGTGGGTCCTTGGAGTCCCCTCCAAAGCTGCTACCATAAATTACTGATGATGTCCATTTCCTGCTTTTGTACCACAGGATCATAGAGCAGGGGAATGCCAGAGCAGACTGTCAACATCTTCCATATAATATTAGGAATTTCTTCTTTTAGTTTTGATGAGATCTACATTTCTTCAGAAAGAAATGGTCATCAGTGTATGCAGGGTTTAAGCCAGCAATGTATAGAATCCCCTTTTCTTTCTTTTATTAAACACACATCTTTTATACAGCCTGGAAGGTTCCCTGAGGGGAAGGGGGTGGAGAGCATTCTTTTCAAGAGGGTGACCTGATTATTTGCAAATGGTTTTCTTTTATTTGTAAGCTGCCAGAAGTTGTCAAGGTGTTGGATGGCCTTGAACCTTGATTACATAAATAAATAAGAATCAGGATTCTCCTGACAGGGCAAGGCTTAATTTTGATAGGAGAGGAAAAACAGAAGTGGTGTCAAATACAGGTCATAAGAATCACAACTCCCGATCACTGCTGAAGCCAGATTAGTTTCCCCCTTCCACCCAGAGTTGGCATCCAACCCTAAGCAACTTCTATGGCTCTTTGTTTTAGAGAATCCTATACTGCAGGGTGTTCTTCTTCTCTTGGACATAACACCACTATAATTTCTTCTCTCTTATAATATAGGGCAGTTCATACAGATCAGGAGAAGAACGTGTATAGTTTCTAAAATCATGATCAACCCAACCAAGCTAGAAGAAAAATGTCTTCGTAATACATAAGCCTACATATACATCAGCAAATATATATTTTTCTGTATGATTGTAGTGCATGAAACAAACAGAACACCCATGGAGATAATGTATTATTAATATGCTGTTGCATTCATATCCCTCAGAGATCTGCATAGGATTGTAGGAAGTTAGCACCCCCCATTTCCTGGAAGAATGAAATATTTTAGGAAATATTAAAAAGGCAGAATATTATGTTCCCCTGGTTGAGAAATGGAGAAACATGTTTTAAAGACAAAGCAACTCCCACCTTCCTGCCCCCCCCCCATTTGTTAATGGGCCAGAGGCAGAAACTCAATCTTTGACAATAGGACCCATCTGCAACACAATAGCAACAGAAACTAACACAATGGGACCATTTAGGACAGAAACTCACCACATGGCACCTGGGAAGATTACATCAGCCAGCAAGGCTAGCTAAGACCCCCACCCCCTGGGAGCCTGCAACCAATCAGGATACTCTTTCGGGGCCCCAGGAAGTTCAAAGCCAGAGAAAGCATAAAACCCGGGACTCGCTGTATCTCGTCCCTCTTCTGTTCAGGAACTCAAACTATGTGATCCTGTCCACCATTAAACCATCTTTCCAAGCAGTCTCCATGTTTCCAGTGTCTTTTTCCCCACTTGGAGCTGAACCCAGAAGGATATTTCTTCCTACAGGATTATCAAAAAGAAAGCATGTTTCCGCATGCTACCTAAACTTTTTCTTGTAGAGATTTTGCTTAGTGACCCTCCTCACATATTTGAATGCAATGTTAGATTCTCCAGTAGAACTCAGAACTGGATTGCAATGTTTGAAAATTAAGTTGAAAGCAGTTTCATTAGACGAGCGATGAAGAAATGAGCTTTGAAATCTCACTGGGTCAGGAAATAATCCCTAAACATTTTACCTCCTGGAATCTCTTATCTGCAATGGGAAGTATGAGGACAGATACTGGGATCCTTGTCATCTCTGGATTAGACTAGTGCAATAATGCAAGGACTTGGGACTGCCCATGGAAACCACCCCAAAGGCTTTAGCTCATACAGAATGCAGCAGCCCATGTCCACCAGGCCTGTCCCGTTATACTGCTTCTGCATGATCTATAATAGATGGCACTGTGTTTCTGTTTCTGTTTGCTATCTTTTAAACTTTATAACAGGGCTGTCAAACTTGTGACCAGCGGGCCGGATGCGTCATGCACTGGCCATGCCCATGCCCAGTTTAGTGAAGGGGGGGAAAATGTGATACGTCACGTGACAATGAGAGTTTGACACCCTTGCTCTATATGGTTTGGTGTCTAGCTATCTAAGAGACTACCTTTACCAGCTAGATTCTCTCTAACTGATCCAGATTGCCAGGGAATATCTACTAGAAGCCCCTGTAAGTGCAATGGGACCACATGCATTGTCTGGGGCAAATCCTTTCCCATAGAACAGCCTGCTCCCACCCATAAGCAAGGGAAGCATCCATTCTTATGGCCTCTAGAGGGGGGGAAATGGTTTTTGTAGAATGCCTTGAGAATCACTACAGAGGCATAGGGACATATAGAACTAGACTAATAGACTACTAAAATCATGTATGTATGTTGCCTTTATTATTTTCATGAATAACTCATGAATAAATATGAGAACATATCCAACACACCTTCTTCCTAGTTTTCTTACAACAACCCTGGGAGTAGATTGGGCTTAGAGATAGTGACTGGCCCAAAGTCATTCATCTGGCTTCCATGGCTAAGGAGGGACTTGAACTCACCATCTCTTACTTTTTAGCTTGGTGCCTTAACCACTAGACCAAACTGGCTCTCTGTACCAGTTGTACCATTAATTAGAATTTATTTTGTATGTTATTAATACCTACCTTCTAGAGAAAAGTACAATTGAGGCAGGAGATAAACTACTTAAATAAATATAATAATGCTGACATGCTGAAGGTTATAAAGTACTCTTGAATTAATTTCCCCATTTTCTTGTTGTCTTTTATTCTACTTCATGCAGGTATACTGAGAGCAAGCTACTCAACGTAGCAAAGAATGTAACAAGTATGAATTACAAATTCAACTTTAAAATACTTTCTGGTAGTTCAGATCTGTTTATACATTAATGAATCCACCTGAGGGGAAGTTTCTTTGCTATGAATTTTAAAGGTTACTTCAAACAGAAAGCAAAATTAGGGAAGTCATTGGCTGACAGCACTTTTTTAAAAAAAGAATAGTGGTCCAAAATATAAAAAAATGCATTTTAGCTTTCTGTATGGTTCTTCTTTAAGGGGAATTGTTTGATTTGCTATTGCCAAGCTGAAGCAGTGGAAAAGCTCCATATCCCTTCTGGTGCTTTAATAGCATTCAGGAGACTTATAAAATCTGAGACTTATTTTTAAAAAAGCAAAAAAAAAAAAAAAACACAACTCCAAGATTTCAGACTAGCATAGCATTGGGATTCTGATCTGGGAATTTGAAGAACAAAAATGTCAGAAGAATAATGGAAAAATATAAGGCTATCATGCTCCTTTTAATCCTCAATTTACAACAGTTCATTTAGTGACTGTTCAAAGTTATAACGGCAAGTCAGGGTTCCAAGTAACACCCCCAATGAAAGGGTTGTTGGGCTGACAGGCACTGAAAAATGTGACTTACAATTGTTTTTCACACTTGCAACCAACAGTTGCAGTGTCCCAGGGTCACATGATCACCTTCGGTAACTTTCTGTCAAAGTCAATGCAGAAGTCAAACTCACTTAACAACCATGTTACTAACATAACAATGGCAATGATTTACTTAGCAGCTGTGGCAAGAAAGGTTGTAAAATAGGTCAAAATTCACTTAACAAATCTCTCACTTAGCAACAGAAATCTTGGGCTCAATTGTGGTCATAAGTCAAGGCCTACTTGTATCTTAAAGGACAAGAACAGAACGTTTAAATTATCTTAGGCTAAACCTTTCACGAACTCCCTAGGAAGCGGGCATTGAACAGATTACAGATTTTATCCAAGATAACATGGAACTTGTTTTAAATTTTTTTAGACAAAACTGACAATTATATAATATAACATTTGGAAGTGATCTTTAAAAAAATAATATTAAGACATTTGGGTTTGAGAAAGATCTATGATGCACACTTTTAGTTAAACTGAATCCACACTTAACTACAATTGTCAGATGATTGAGGAGAAAATATATTTTATGTAGCAAATACCTTTGGCGGTGAGCAGTTTTCTGTAATGCATAGCCATGTGATCTTGAACAATGTACTGGCTTGAGAGCTTGCAGGAAGAACTTGGAGAAAAGGCTGAGGAAATTTTAAAAAATGGCTCTAGTTAAAGGGTTTAAGTATCTGGCACATAGATTTCTGAGGAATTTTTACACTTCTAGAGAAATACATTTTCTGATTGTGATACTTGAAGTAAAGGAAGTGGTATTTCAATGTGGTTTCTTTTTGTACTACTTTATCATGAAGTAATAAATAAATGAATAGAAATAAATAATAAATGAAATCTTTGTATGTATACTTATTAAATCTACATTTCTTGGTATGGTACCTCTTATATATATATAGCTCTTAAAGAATATTATAGGTTTAATCTTCCAATACAATCTCCATTTGAAAAGATTTAAAAGCTGATGATTTTTTAACCTCAGGAGCTAAGAAAAAGAAAAAAATTAGAGATGTCCATTTTTCTAGGTATACAAACGCCAAGCTGGATTTTTTGTATTAGTCTCTCCTCTCTCTCCTCCAAACTGTTACTTTAGTTGGTATAAAGGAGAGTACATGAATGCAAAACATTCAGGAATTTGAAATGACTGTTTATATTTCTGTTCTTGCTTTCCAAACTTAACACTTGGTGAAATATTCATCTTATGAACTATCATCATTTGATAAAAAATTATTCTGGTGGAAACTAAGTCTCAAAATGACTGAAAACAAGAGAAAAGAAAGCTGCAAAACTTATTAAAAAATTTAAGGCCAGTTGCTGAAAAGCAAGGAGAAAGGTGAAATGTTTCATTTTCTTCCCACTTTACATGCATGGAGAAGTTTGATTTTCAAATCTGTTCCAGCTGAGCTCCAAGATCAAAGTACAACAATATGAAGTCTCAACATCCAGCTCTGACCCTCTGAAAGTGGCTTCCATAGTAGAGCATGGAAGACCTCATTTCTGAAAGACAGATACAAAAAAAAGCTAGACTGGAGTTTGCTAAACTGCATGTTGACAAGTCCTTCTAGAAGAATGTCCTTGGAGCAGATGAAACAAAATTACAGCTTTTTGGTAAGTCACAGCAATGTTCACAGAAGAAAAAAAAATCATTTTAAAGAAAAAAACACCAGCCCTATTGTGAAAAATTGAGAAGATTCCATAATGTTATGATGCTGTTTTGTTGTCTCCGATACTAGATGCATTGAATCTAGGCAGGGCACAATAAAATCAGAATATCAAGGTATTCGGGAACGAAATTTCCTGATCGTTAGAACAATTAATCAGTGTGACAAATTGCCTCCAGAAGTCAACTGCTATAGAGTGGGACAAATTGCTGTTGGAAAGTATAAAAATTATATTTAGAGCTACAGAAAGTCCTTGATTGCTGTTATTACCTCAAAAGAATATGTTACAAAACCCCAATTAGATTAGGATACCAATAATTATGTCCATGCCATTTTTGTTTGTTTAATTATTTGCAAGACTAAGCTTTCCAATAGCTACACCTAAGCTATTGAACATTTGCTCAGGAAACTAAGTTTGCACATTTTCTTTTGGATTTTTCCAGTGATGAAATCAATCATATTTAGGAACGCATTTTTTTCCAGATAAAATGTAAACTGTATTGGATTTTTTTTTAGCAACTGCAGCAATCTTTTTAGGTTAGATGCACACTTGAAATGTATAGGTATATTCAGAAAATAATTCCTATGTGGGAAATTGAACATAAGAGGCAGTTTTCAATATTAATAACAGATTTATTTCAAATAAAATATACATTGAAAAATGTATTTGTAATCTTCCCTAGAAAGCACTTAGCTCTGAAGCAAGTAACATTTTGTTCTCCCAAATCTACCCAATGCTTATACAGCATGCTAAGAATCTAGATAAGCGATTTTAATTATTTCAAATAGACGAGAGCCTAATTGTTATCAAGAATAACAATGAAATTGGTTCCCACCCCCTCTTTTACACTCTATAAAATACATCTGGTAAAATATCTCTCTGTTTACTTCACAGCTTTTCTATAAGCAGAACAATTTTCCACTGAGGTTTGTTTTCCAGCTGTGACACAGAGGTTTCGTGGCTGATTTTCTGCAGGTAGATAACACTGATTTCAAACAAAAATTAGGTTAGAAATCTGAAGTTGTTTTTCCTCTTCCCTGATTTACATTGTTTATATCAATTGAAGCTTGGATTTGCAGTTGAAAGCTAGAGAAGTGATTGATTGGTAAATCCATTGCATCCTATGAGAGGCAATTTTAATTATCATGTTAATCTCTATATTTTATTAACATCAATAGAGAAAGATAAAGCAATCTTAATGAAAGTTTAATAAATGATAGGCATTCAGGGTCAAGCTGGCCTGTTTTGCAACTTAAAGACAAAATATTAATCATATTATGAAGGCAGTTTCTATGCATGTGCATGCCAGTGACACAAGGATTTTAAGTGTGCAAACGTCCTTGCTATGAAAAATATACTATTAGCCAATGCAGGACACCAGAAATAGATGTCATATCTGGAATCCTGGAACTCTTGGATCCTCATTAAATCTAGTACTAGAATAACAGTTTTATAAGCTGTTATAAAATGTTTTATGTAAGGGCAGAAATCCAAGGTTTATCCCTGACTCCAGACATGTATATAAGCTACCTAAGGGAGCTTTGTCTAAATTATCCAGATAGATTAAGTTTTAGATTTTGTTTCTCTTGATGCAGTCATTATTGAGCCAGGGGGATGCAGTGATTAGAATGCAGTGAAGGTAAAGGTTCCCCATGCACATATGTGCTAGTCATTCCCGACTCTAGGGGGCAGTGCTCATCTATGTTTCAAAGCCAAAGAGCCAGCGCTGTCCGAAGATGTCTCTGTGGTCATGTGGACGGCATGACTAAACACCAAAGGCGCATGGAACGCTGTTACCTTCCCACCAAAGATGGTTCCTATTTTTCTACTTGCATTTTTTACGTGCTTTCGAACTGCTAGGTTTGCCGAAGCTGGGAAAAGTAACAGGAGCTCACCCCATTATGTGACACTAGGGATTCGAACCGCTGAATTGCCAACCTTTCTCATTGACAAGCTCAGTGTCTTAGCCACTGAGCCACGGCATCCCTACTAGAATGCAGTGCTGCAGGGCTAACTCACTGCTCACTCCAGGAATTCGATCCTGACAGGCTTGAGGTTGACTCAGCCTTTCATCCTTTCAAGGTGGGTAAAATGAGGACCCAGATCGTTGGGGGAAATATGCTGACTCTGTAAACCACTTAGAGCAGGCTGTAAAGCACTGTGAAGTGGTGTATAAGTCTAAGTGCTATTGCTATTATTACACGGTAATGCTTGCCTGAAAGCCTCCGTCCAACATGCAATATTCCCAACTCAGAAATTTTCCCCATTCCCATAACTGATTTTGATTAAGAACACAGCTGAGGACACAGCAGGCTTTTCCAGTGCTCAACTGATAAATAATGGGTGAATGTCAAGAAGCTGAGATCTTCACCAGGCTACCCAAAGAGAGCCTGAGAGCTGTATGTGATTCATAAATTTCCCATTGCTGACTCATGTTGTCCAGATAGTTCTACTGTCTTTAATATATATTCAGAACATTGTTGGAAACTAGTTGTATATTCGGAGTACAGTGCCACCCTCATACATAACGATAACTAACTTTTACCCTTTTTCATTGCACACCAAGGTTTTTGAAGTGCTGTATTGATGTCTTAGGATAATATTGAGTTAGAAATGGTAGATAAAATTAACCTACACCCATCAACATGTAAATGAACTCAGCTTGCCCTGCATGAATTTATTACTCCAGTGCATCGTTTAATAGGATCTAATTTTGCTCCTAAAATTTCCATGTATTGGCTATATTCAAGGGTTCTTTTTTACCTGCTGTAAATTGGTACCAGATTTGGGCCCCATTTGGACATTATCACCTAGCGATGTATTCACTTTTGTTGCCAGCAGTTTAGACATTAATGGCTGTGTGTTGCATTATTTTGAGGGGACAGCACATTTACACTTATACAAGCTGTATACACACTACTTAACATTGTAGCCAAGTATCATTTCTTCAGTATTGTCACATGAAAAGATATACTTAAAAATTCACAAAATATGAGGGGATGTGCTCACTTCTGTGATATACTGTACATCTGTCAGAATGCTAACTGAGACCACCAGAATATATTGCTTCGGTTTTAATTAGTGCTCTATTTTAGATCAACTCTGCCAAAGATGGGAACTTATTTATTTTGGCCATACATCTCCACCATGAGTTTCACTCAGTCTCTGTCTACTTTAAATGCAAGTCAAAATGTGTACTTGGGAGGCGGTTTATATACTGATTTTATGTTAATCATCCAAGTCATGTGACTGGGGCACTATAATTGTTCATGCATAAATAACACCATGTTAGCAGAAGGCTTTTACATTTATAGATTGCTGTTAAAGGTAGGATGTCAACTACTCTGAAAACTATCAGAATATTAAGAGCAAAGAAAATAGATGATAATCTAATTCATGATTATCAGTCAATGTTCTGTATGCTGCAGTAGTTTCCAGGTTTCCAGAAATAAGTCTGTCTATACTCATGCTCCTGAAAACCTTGAAACTGAGAATTGCATTTTGTGATTTAGATGCATGTAATGCTTTATGTAGCCTTGAGATCCTTCTGTGCCTTCCTTATTTGTAATAGAAATTATTTGAAATGTGCTTTTTTTTTTTTAAAAAAAAACTCTTTCATTTTAAAATCAACCACATCTATAAAATTACCTTTAGGGAGAACAGTCTCCAATCTTCGTTTTATTGCGAAGGTTGTTGAAAGTGTGGTGGTGCGGCAGCTGCCACAGTACCTGTATGAAGCTGTCTATCTAGATCCGCTCCAGTTCGGCTTCATGCCTGGGCACAGCACGGAAACGGCATTGGTTGCGTTGGTGGATGACCTCTGGAGGGCTCGGGATAGGGGATGCTCCTCTATCCTGGTCCTATTAGATCCCCAACGGCTTTTGATACCATCGACCATGGTATCATGTTGTGCCGATTGGAGGGGTTGGGGGTGGAGGGCACCTTTTTGCGGTGGTTCTCCTCCTACCTCTCTGACCGGTCACAATCTGTGTTGACGGGGGCAGCGGTCGACCCTGAGGCACCTTGTTTGTGGGGTACTGCAAGGGTCCGTCCTCTCGCCCCTTCTGTTCAACATTTATGTAAAGCCGCTGGGTGAGATCATCCGTGGCTTTGGGGTGGAGTTCCATCAGTACGCTGATGACACCCAGCTGTACATCTCCACCCCAGGCCACCCCAATGATGCCCTTGAAGTGATGTCCCAGTGCCTGGAGGCCGTGCGGGCCTGGATGGGGAGAAACAGGCTCTGACTCAACCCTTCCAAGACTGAGTGGCTGTGGCTTCCGGTGTCCCGAGATAGCCAGTTGGTGCCATTGCTGGTTATTGGGGGCGAATCACTGGCCCCCACAAGAGGGCTCGCAACTTGGGCATCCTCCTGGATGCACGGCTGTCTTTAGAAGAGCATATGACAGCCGTGGCCAGGGGAGCTTTTTATCAGGTCCGATTGATACGCCAGTTGCGTCCCTTTCTGGATCGGGACTCCCTACGCACGGTCACCCAGGCACTCATCACTTCCCGCCTGGACTACTGCAATGCTCTCTACATGGGGCTCTCCTTGGGGTGCACCCGGAGGCTCCAGCTGGTCCAGAATGCGGCCGCACGGGGGATTATGGGAGCGATGGGGTGCTCCCATGTGACACCTCTCCTGCACGAGCTGCACTGGCTCCCAGTGGTCTTCTGGGTGTGCTTCAAGGTGTTGGTGACCACCTTTAAAGCGCTCCATGGCTTAGGGCTGGGGTATCTACGAGACCGCCTTCTGCCGCAAATAGCCTCCCACCGGCCAGTACGCTCGCACAGAGAGGGCCTCCTCAGAGTGCCATCCACCAGACAATGTCGGCTGGCGACCCCCAGGGGGAGAGCCTTCTCTGTGGCAGCACCCGCCCTCTGGAACGACCTCCCCCTAGAGATATGCACGATACCAGACCTCCGGACTTATCGTTGGGCCCTGAAAACTCATTTATTTCATCTAGCCGGCTGGTTTGATCCCATCCGTTTCAGTTTTAATTTGAAATTGGTTTTAATTGGGTTGTTTTAAATTCTGGGCCGAATTTAATTAACTTTTAAACTGTTTTTTAAATTTTGTATGCTCTGTTTTATCTTGGCTGTTCACCGCCCTGAGTCCTGTTGGAGAAGGGCGGTATACAAATCAAATCAAATCAAAAATAAATAAATAAACAGTGATAAATTAGCAGGGAAAAAAAAGTATCAATAGTTTTCTCAGCAAGAATATTTTCCTTATTCCAAACCCACTATGACATTACAACTGCCGTTTTATAATTACTAATTTACTCTGTATCTGCAGACTAAACTGAAATAGATTCCTTTGGCATATTACATTTTGAATAAATCATATCTGAAGTTATAAATTTCCTGTTGTAAATCTGAAAGCAGCAATAATCAGGCTTGATTGATGCAACACAAATGGCAATAAAACATGCCTCTACCATTTGGCTGATGAGCCAAAATGTATGAACTGAAATGTATTGGATTGGCTATTTTGTCTGCTGTCATGCTTGCAACCACAATTAAAACTGCTCTTCTTTCCAGTGTTCAGTTAAAGTTTTTGGATAAGGGGTGGGATCCATACAAAAGTATCAGTCAGTTTAAGGTTGGTCATATGCCTTAGCCTAGATTTAATGGGAATGTCATAAAATAACCACCTGTGCAAAGCACCAGCAGTGGTATTTAAATTCATTCCTAAATGGGCATAAAAATTATGCTGTTGAATGGAAAATGAATATCCTGGGTGTGATTATGTTTTTGGTATCAAGATTACAACCTTTGCATTTAAAGGATAGAGATGACTTAATTAAGTTAACTAATTTGAGTTATTGGCAGCTCTTTGCAAGGACTTAGACTGAATGACAATGTACTTATCATTCCAATCCTATCTTCCTGAATTAAAAGAAAACAAGCAGAAATAAGAACATCAACATTTGGGAAAGATCCAGGCCTGGGTTTTCTTTTTTCTTAGAAAAAGAGAATCAATCATCCTGAATGTCATCCTCCTCAAGCAAATGCATAAAGTTACTAGTGCTCATGAACTGCACCAAGAACATTTAACGTTTTGCATATCTATGCTCTGGTAATTCCAAGACTTACATATTTCAATGTATTGTATGTGGGGCTGCTACTAAAGACAGGGTAGACATTTCAGTTAAGACACAATACAAGTTCTAAATTGGTTCCCAACCCTAAGGCTATGCAGAGAAATCATGCCACTTCATTTTGTTTCTGAATTTTTAATGTGCAATAAACTAGCATCCAGACATTTGCTGCCCTGCCTTCACCTCATATCGGTTTGCTACCATCTTCATCTGAGGCTCTTTGAATGCTTCCACTCTCCAAATTTAGTGAACACGTGGATAAAATCATTGTAGTGCTAGCATTCTGATTTTAAGATATTCTTTTTTTAGATAAATCACTCAATTGTGATTTAGTTGATTGTTTTCATTTTGGCTCTGATTTAATGATTATCTTACATTTTCTTATGAGCTATCCTTGGAATCCATTTGGAATCCATTTGGAATCCTTGGAATCCATACAGGATGAAATATGTAGATCTGATAAAGATTATTTGTTAAAAATGTTGATGTAAATTAAGGAAAAAAAAGGTAGAGTAGAAATATTTCATTCCTTTAGAACTTTCTCCAGCTACATATTCAAGAATCTTTTGGTTTTATAAACATTGAAATGATGAGTATTTTGCCAAAAGCAAGGTATCAGTTCAAAGCTGTGAAACCCAATCAAATTTGCAAAACCAAAAATTTTCCATTATATCCATTATGCATTATTCTTAGAGATGACAGCACTGATTATGCTTTTGTGCAATGAAGCAATTGGTCTACATTTGCTATTTCCAAGTGCCTTGCAGATATTTTAATCCAAACTTAGTTTACTGACTTCCCCAAACTCTATTTACTATAATTATTTACCTGGCTTTCAAATATGGATGAAATAATGATCCTGAAAGCTAAACAGTTACAAATCACGTCCTATGTTTTTAAAGAAATTATTTGAAATTGTTTTTAAAATCACTGAATGAAAACCATTGGCATTCAAGTAATCTTCTTGTAATAAACCAGTGTTTCTCAACCTTGGCAGCTTGGAGAGGTGTGGACTTCAACTGGAAGTTGAAGTCCGCACCTCTTCAAGCTGTCAAGGTTGAGAAACGCTGTAACAAATTATTTATTCTGAATCACCTTAACCATCCCAATATGTTAATCAAATGGTACCATATTTACATATTTGAATTTTTACCTACTTTCATTTTGAAGGACAGCATAAATACATGAAGTAAATAGGAGTATATTTGTCATTTCTGAAGACAATTTGCATTATTAAGAATATTAGATTGGAATACATAACATTTCTCTTGCTGAAAATGTTAAATACTTACGACTGCTTTTAATACTCATATGTCCTCTGAAAGGGCCCATCAAGGAATGGTTTGGAATCCTCATAGCTAGCCAGGATACTGTATGGAAAAAAAGCAAATAGGATATATCAAAATATTAATTTTGATTTTCTGTGAGGTAAACCTTGTTGACACTCAGAAACAACTAGCCAGTGTTAATAGCTAATAAAGCATGTACTTACTATAGATAAGATATGGTAGCTAATCAAGGAGAGAGGCAACCTAGAACTAAGGAGAAATTTCCTGACAGTTAGAACAATTAATCAGTGGAACAATTTGCCTCCAGAAGTTGTTAATGCTCCAACACTGGAAGTTTTTAAGAAGACATTGGATAACCATTTTTCTGAAATGGTATAGGGTTTCAAGCAGAGGTGGGTTTCAGCAGGTTCTGACCAGTTCTGGAGAATCAGTAGCGGAAATTTTGAGTAATTTGGAGAACCAGTAGTAAAAATTCTGACTGGCCCCGCCCCCATCTATTCTCTGCCTCCCGAGTTCCAGCTGAAATGGGATGGAGGAAATGGAGGAAATGGGGATTTTGCAGTAACCTTCCCCTGGAGTGGGATGGGAATGGAGTTTTTACAATATCCTTCCCCTGCCACGCCCACCAAGCCACACCCACAGAACCGATAGTAAAAATTTCTGAAACCCACCACTGATTTCAAGCCTAAGCAGGTGGTTGGACTAGAAGACCTCCCAGGTCCCTTCAAACTGTTTTCTATTCTATTCTATTCTATTCTATTCTATTCTATTCTATTCTATTCTATTCTATTCTATTCTATTCTATTCTATTCTATATGACTGCAATAGTATATGATGTTAGAAGACAGAAGGGAAAATTGCAGCCTAGGTAACAGTCTGATAAACACAGTCTGAAGGAGGAATGGGGATAAAAAATGCTACAGAAGAGACCCTCCCTAGTTTTCAGGAGAATAAAGGTGTGTGTGTGTGTGTGTGTGTGTGTGTGTAGAGATACTTTCTGACTTGGACGGTTCTGTTCTATGGGGTGGGAGTGCGTTTGGGGATTGTTATATGTGTTGGACCTGATCTTTGGTGAATTTCGTTGTATGGGTATACTGTGCATACACATACAATGACAATAAAGTTATTATTATTACTGTAACCTTACAATGCAGGTAGCATTAAAAGTACTCACAATACATCTTGTTTGGACTACCTCAAAGGACTGATTTATTTATTAGATTTATATCCTGCCTTTTCTCTAGGAATCACTTCCTCATCCATGCTTTTCCCTTCATCCACATCCTGTAAATTAGAATGAATTAAGAAAGAGTGATTACTCTCTTCCATGACTGAAGACAAATTAGAAACCAGAGCTCCTTGATCCTTAGTCTCCTGTAGTCATTGCTCCAAATTAGGGTCACAAAAACTGTTTCACTCGATAATTGATTTAATCTCATGAACACCTCTCTGCCACACCTGACTCAATTAGATTTTTTGAATTTTTTTAAAAAATACAGAAACTTGCATGCTGCAAACTACTGTCCTATATTTATTCACAAAAATATTTCTAAGCCTGACTTATCCTCAAGAGGCATTCTTAGAAAACAAGAACTGTGGGTGACTTATTCAGCGTTTTCTTTGTACGTTTGTCTACCTGTTCAGAGAAAAAGTGATGAATAGCAACCTGCCTACAGTATTTTGCTTCTCAGTATAAGTAGACTTGGTAAACAAACCATCTTCCTTTTTTTTAGATTTGTTTAAATGAAGCAATTCACTTTGGGGCTGGAAATCCATCCTTCTTGCACTGAAATGGGAAAATGCTATCTTGGAATGGGAGTCTAATAGCCATAAATAATGCAACACTTCAAGTGAAAAAAGACAGCAGCACTAATGGAAAATGATAGAATACACAGTATAGTTTGTGCTTAGATGTGAGATTGATGAGGCATAACTATGATATCAAATTAACATAAGTATCCATATAAAGTATTGCCTTGTTCTAAACCAGGGGTACCCACCCTTGGCAACTTTAAGACTTGTAGACTTTAATTCCCAGAATTCCTCAGGCAACCATGCTGGCTTGGGAATTCTGAAGTTGAAGTCCACAAGTCTTAAAGTTGTCAAGATGGGGTACCCCCGTTCTAAACAATAGCAAAGCAAATGATTTAAAAAAATAAAAAGAATCATGAGACAGATCTTGGATCCCAAATGTCAAATTTCTAACATTTCTACCATAAATAGAAATATTATAGCCACTCTGGTTTCAATTTAAGTCAGGGCTGTCAAACTTCCAGCCCGCAGGCCAGATGCGTCACATGCATGCCCGGTTTAGCAAAAGGGAAAAAAGTCCCGAAATGTCATGTGACGCTGCCATGACGATGTGAGTTTGACCCCCTGATTTAAGTAAATGTTCAATTCCACATGAGATATGGATAGCTAACTTCTGATCTAAACAAACATTATAGTTAAGAAGTCATTAGCAAGGAAGTGAGAAAGGCCTTTTTGTCCAGCATTGGGCTATCCTCTAACACGAATTATGATAATTGATATGACTAGGATATGCCACTGAGGCTTGTGTCATGCAAGTGCTGTTTTTCTTCAGTTTTTGAAAAAATGTAGAACTCACTAGAAAGTATATTTCTCCCTTTATAGGGCAATATGAATTATTTATAGAGAGACAGTTCGATGTAGTAGTTCAGGCATCAGACTAAAAACCTGGGGACTATGAGTTCCAGTCCTGTGTTAGGCACAAATCCATCTGGGCTATCTTGAGCCAGTAACTTTCTCTCAATCATTTCTCTCAATCAATTCAAACTATTTTTGAAATCTTACCCCAAAAAAGTGTAGGCACTTGTCCAGTCAGTCACCAACACTGAAATGAAGGAAAAAAGTCACACTGAGAGGAAGGAAGGAAGGAAGGAAGGAAGGAAGGAAGGAAGGAAGGAAGGAAGGAAGGCTAAAATTTATGGCTAAATTTTGCATGGCAGTCAATTGTGTAAGACAATATTTAGCCAAGCTTGTTTAATTTCAGTGAAAGATTGCTACATTAGTTGGCAAAGATTAATTTAGAAGGACAGAAATATTTTAGGTTTTAAGGGTTTTTTTTTGTTTCTCACTGACAACCTACAACTGGATGGTGGATTCATATGCTACATGTGTTATATATAGACATATAACACATTACAGGCATACAAACACATGAATCCAAAAGCTTATAATTTCTATGCTTGAATGACTATATTAAGAAGTGATGCTGCTTCTAATTGTCCATCCAATCCCATGTTGTTTCACTTAAAAGTAAGCAATCTATCAGCTAATTATTTTGAACTTCAATCCCTATAATTCCTAGCCAGGACTATCAATGCCAAGAAGTAATAGGATCTGTAGCCCAAAACATTTTGTCCTCCTGACTGTTTTGCCTTTCCTATGTCTGTTTGCCATAAATCCTTTATATAAAGATAAAGAAACGGAACTTTGATGTTCTGAATATAAGGTATATGGTTTAGTCATTACCTTGTGCTTCTTTGTCTTTGCAGTAAAATGGGGTTGTGCATGCCACTTCTAACTCCATCTTGGGTCTTTCCCTTATCTCTAAATAGTGATCTAAATTTTATAACTTTTTTATATACAGTAGTAAAATATAAACACTTGTCATTCCCTCCTGTAACATCCAAACATAGGTAGGCTGATAGACAGCAGGTAGTCTATTCATTGTCATTTAGCTTCCCCCTAAAGACAGAACCAGATGAAATGATTGCTTCTGTCATAGCCAAAGTGCCTCTCAAATATTATGCTGTGCTGTGGGTCTCATTGAAGACAATGCAGACGATCAGATTTCAGTATTTTATTTTCATAATCACAAAAGCCACAAAAGTTAAGGTAGCATTTACCTTAATCCAAGTGACTTTCACGTTACTCTTACTTGCAAGATTCCTCTTCTGAAGTTCGATCATATATCTCCCACCAAGAATGCTGCTACTTATCTTCCCTACTAGTGGAGGATTACTGGTCAGTGTTTCAACTAGCCACTTCTCTCCCAAACTGAATATTCTTACTCTACAGCCTAAATGTTAATTTCTGTTTCTGAGTTACATTTTCAAAATGTCAACAATGAAGACAGAGTTATTACTGGACTACTTTTTAAATTAAAAAAGAATGCAAGAGCAGATAATCTAAGCCCACAGCAAACAGCATGTTTGCGTATTTAAAAATAAAAGTTCAAGGGAATAAAGTTTTAGAGTGGATGCTTATCTTAATGTTGTGCTTGCTTCATTCATTAAGATTCTGGTTGTCCTGAAGTATCTAGGTGCCAAGCCAGAAAGGGCCTTATAGGTGAAGAAAATTAGCACCCATCCCTCTTAGAAGAATGCAATATTTTAGGATATATTAAAAAGGCAGAATATTATATTTCCCTGGATGAGAAATTGAGAAACATGCTCTTGGAGACAGAAACTCAGCCCCAGCTCCCTGCCCCCAGCAGATATTTTGATGCCAGTTTATCTACAAAACAAAAGACTGGGCCATCTTATCTACAAGACAAAAGACCTTCACCCTCAGGACATAATAGAATTAACCCTCTACCCATCTAGCAGCAGAGCTCACCATATGACACCTGGGGATGTTACATCACCCAGCACAGTTCAACCAGACTTATTTCAGACAAACTCCTAGGATTTGCACATGACCCCTACAGCAACCAATAGAATACCTACCCTTGCCACAGGAACAGGAAGCTCAAGTTCAAAGCCCAAGAGAGGGTATAAATAACACTCACTCTCCACTCCATGTGTTCAACTGCACCATGTGCTTAATGGTTCTTCTCCATTAACCCAACTTTCCAAGCAGCCTCCATATTTCCAGTGTCTTTCTCTCCACTTGGAACTGAACCCAGATGGACATTTCTTCCAACATAGGCTAGAAGCAGCACTCGGAATCGTACTAGAAAGCTTACTAATAAGCAATGCAAAGAAGATAATGCAGATATAATATAGTCAAGGCATTGAGCACTAGAAAAGAAGTCACTGGAGAAGTAGGTCACTGGATTTTGAACCTATTGCAGTTTCTCAGTAAATTTCAAGGGCAGCCCTATGTAACACAGTATTCTATCCAGCAGTAACAACGGTGTGAATCACTGTAGCAAGATTCTTCTGCTCCAGATGGGGCCCTCCTGGCTATGACTTTCACCCATGCATGCAGCAATAATTGTGAAGCCAAAGAACCTTCAGGCATCAGGACAAGACTTTGGCAGGCTTAATTTAGTAATATTCATTTAAATATCATCAACATGCTGGAGATGCCACACTCTTAACTGATAGATAACTTCTCCCTGCAATTTCATGTAAAAGTCTAAAAGAAAAAAAATGATTCCCATGGCATCCCAAAATTTAGTTGCTTAACCATTGCAAATCAGTGCCTCCAGTCTCCAACCTATGCAGATACCATAGGATACCATAGTTGAAAGTATCACAAAAAGAACCCCCAGAGACTTCCTCAAGCAGAACTCAGCAAAATACAAGACAGCAAAATAAAGGGAAAGATGGATGAGTTTTGTCCTTCCTCCTCAAATTTGATCACCAGTTTCTTGAAATTTAAGTTAAGGGAATACACTTCAACTCTGCATTGTCTATGAATCTCTCCAAAAGAACCTTTATTCCAGCTCTAATTAAAACAAATCCTTCTTTGCTTTTTAGATATTGCTTAAGGTATTAATCTGCCAGCAGAATTAGTTTTATGAAAGCATCCGGTACATCTAGATTTCACATGCCGAGTATTATTGCTGTTTCTTGACCTTTCTGGAATCTAACAATGAAATTACTGCTGCTGCAAACAATGGCTTCCCTTCAATTATCTGTTCCATTTCTGAAAAGATCTCCATTTATTCTAAATCAAACCTCATTTGTGACTCAAGCACGACTCCTTAATGAATGTATTGCTTTTTAAAAAGTTCTAAACATTTATTGGTCAACTGAGTTGAATTGATTAAACCAAATGCAATTAATGGATTTATTGTAGTTTAAAAATAGAACAGGAGTTAATCATAGGCAGGTAGCTATTGTGCTACCACTATAGCATAGAAAATCAATAGCAACTGCCGTGGCTTCACTACCCCCTCAATTAAATTGTACAGTTAAACAAATGGATAGGATGATTTAGATCTTAAAAATGTTTATTCTGATTGCAGTTCCATGTGCTGAGAAAGTCCATATTGCTGTGACAAGGAAAAAAAAAAGAATCTGAACTTCACTCTTTGCTATCTATTTTCTATCCATCTCATCATTTTTTTTAATTTCATGATTATTAAAAGCCATATTGAATAAATTTATCACATGATCATTACCTGGAACAAATCATATATTTTGTTTTATCTAAATCAGAATTCAAGGAGTTAGATTATTTCAATAAAGATTATTCTCTTAGATAGTAATTGTGGGTATGACCTAACTTCATAGTTATCTACCAGGTGATACAAATTAAGAAACTGAAAATAGTTCCGCATACTCTGAAAGAAGAGAATGCTTATATTCTACTCCCAAGCCATTTATGAGGTTATTATTTCCAGGACATTAGTGGACAACTCCCCCCCCCACTCCATGTGTGTGTGTGTGTGTGTGTGTGTGTAAGAATAAAAGCTAAAATGGCCTGATCAAGATCAAAGTCACCATGAACAGAGGTTCAGTGTTTAACCTCTCTGATCTTTCTGTCCATTCAAGATATCCATACAACTGCAAGGAAGTTAATTTAAAAAAGGTGGGGGAGGGAATGGTGCAGCTACAGCAGCTTAATTTTGTAGTTTTTTTAACCTGGAGCCTTTAATCCGACTAGGTGGCTCAGTGGCTAAGACACTGAGCTTGTCGATCAGAAAGGTCAGCAGTTCAGCTGTTTGAATCCCTAGTATGGGTCTCCTGTGTAAGCAGGGGGTTGGACTAGATGACCTCCAAGGTCCCTTCCAACTGTATTACTGTTACTAATCTTCTCTGTGCCCACAGGCCAGAAATATAGTTAACATTTTTATGAATAGTTTTGTGTATGTATGCATTGGATGAAGTCTGGTTCATCTAAACCAGAGTTTTCAAACCATGTTTTCAGAAACCCTAAGGTTCTGTGAGAGACAAAGGACATACATACATGCATGCCAATTTATTGTCATTAGAGCTTTGCCTCTTGATAAGGAATTCTAAGGCTTTGTTATTTTTAACTAACAGGTTATGTAGCCTGAAAAAAAAATCGGAAACTCCTGATATAACCCCTCATCTTAATTCCTGGCTGTGCAAAGCTCCGATCTGAAATAAAAGAAGTATTAAAGCTCCTATTCCTTATTAGCCACCACTAGTGATAAAGTCTTATATCCAAAAAAGGCTTTTCTTGGAAGCAGATAAATTTGCAGAAGCTGTGCAAAAAAAAAAAACAAGAGCTGAAGTATAAATTGTGATCTGCTGTTTCCTCAAGATTGCCATAAGAAAAATATAAGTCAAAAATGGTATGGCTATGTTTCCTTGCTTCAAGTATAGATGAAAATGATAAAAGAAATAGTTACAGAAAATTTTATTCTGATGTCAGTTCAGAGGAATCAGAAATGTTCTATCGCAATGATTTACTGCTAGGGGTTCCATAAATTGTTAATTCAGATTCAGATTGAGATAACATATCTGGTATAGTTTAATTACTGTTCGTTGAACAAGCCATTGCAACCAATTCACATGTAATTCTAAGACATATGAAGCACAATGCACAAACCAGAAGGGCTGGCTTCACGCTTATTATTATGATGTGTGACATTTCAAGCCATTCTCTCTTGCAAATGTTTCAGTTCAAAGGAATATTAATCAGTCAGATATTTCAACAGTAGCCAACTAATTAGATTGCTTCTTTAAAGCATTTGCAATGTCTGGTCTTCAGTCTTAAAGATTTCAAGAAGAAATTGCAGAATAATAAAAGTAACACTGTCCCTATCCTTAGGTTTAGGTTTTAAGAAGCAAAACACAATTAAAAAAAATGAAAGCATCGAAAGAGATGGGAAAGAGAAAGTAACTCTGGGACCAGGTCTTAATGTTTATGGTTTAATGTGATGAAATGGGGTATAAAAGGTGGCCCAGATGATGTCACTGCCTCCAAACAGATGGACTTTTTGCTCTTCAACATGCCAATTAGCATTATGAGCTGGGACTAGCGATATAGTATAATAATTTCATAAGCTATTATGCTATTCTGACTGACAGTCATTATCCCGTTAAACACCAGCAATCATTGAGAAAAGTAAACCTGTTTTCGTGTAGCTGATTTGAGGGGAATCAAGGAAGAAATTAGATTTTCTATTGCTGGAGAAACATACCGTTCTTTAATTTGCAAAAAAACAGCAAAACTATACATTCCTCTAACATTATGTACTGTATGAACTCTAAAAGCTACAAATTGTTGAAAGCACATAGTTTAATTAAAAAATAACCAATGGATATACGGCATGTACATGATCTCTCTGGATCTATTGTGCATTAACATAAGCATATGAACTGGTTGGCTTATTCTGTTCTACATTAGCCAGAGTTTAATATGCCATCCGCTAACAGCAAGCAAAATTTTCTCTTTTAGCTATTAAATATTATATATGGTGCCCACAATAAAATATTACACTCTGTGATGCATGGGTATTTGGGCTATGAAAAGATTGTTGAATTAGTTAATTATTAGTTCATTGGATTACACTCTTCAATTGTTTAAAATAAGATTGTGGTGCCTGGAATCATTTTCTTGGTATTACAGAGGATCTGATAACAAAAACAGAAAAGAATATATATTATTCCAAAATATATTGGAGTAAAATATATTCGACCTCTGGGCTTGATTCAGGAAATCTAAACTGATACAGTCAACCAGCTAGGTTAAACAGAAAGTCAGCCTTGGGAGTAAGAAAGTCTCTATTCAAATGACAAATTATATCCTTAAGTTAAGACGTTTATATAATCACACAGAAGCCCTTTGGGCATTTTTGTTACTTGATTCCTCTTGGGATTTTTAAATGCACTATCAGGTGAGATGTTACAAGCTCCTTAGTGTCAATATTTCACAGACGAAGATGTCTAAGGAGGTTTATGCAAAGATTTCCAAGGAGCTACCGTATTTGGCAAACTACAGGACAGTAGGATCTACGGAAGGAGAATATTTGTAGCTGTAGTTGAAATGAGGGGTCCTTGGTGCTCTCTGATCTTGCTTGTTTTCTTGCAGGTGTTTCATTACCCAAACTCGATAACATCATCATCAGTGCTAGTGATGTCACCTAGTTAGGGTCATAAAACACCTGCAGGAAAACAAGCAAGCTCAGAGAGCACCAAGTATAGGAGCTGATAAAGCAGCCACAAGGTTTGCAAAACTCAGGCAGCTGTTGGAGAGCTACCTGAGTCTGACTGTGTTTTCCAGAGGAACATTGAATGACAATTCGGGCAGTTTGCAGGGAAGCAAAAACCGGCACACCTAGTTAGCGCCAGACGGAATAATGCGAAGTTATTCTAGGACAGTGTTGAATTGAGAGAGAAAGGGGAAGGGGGTGGGGTCGCGGAAATGTTAGTATTTATGAAGGAAGGAAGTTTTTCTCGGTTCTTTCTCAACCATCCTGCGTTCTCCGTGACCCACCGCAGGGACTACAACGGAGAGGAGAGGTTTTTTGTTTTTTTTTTGCTGAACGAACAACCAAGAGAGGAGGGGAGAAGAGACAGAGGAAGCTTTTACCTTCGGCGGCTCCTGACCGGGCTGGGGTGGGGGGAGTTCTCAGGCCGCGCCGGCGAAGGCGAGGGACGCGCGGTGTTTTCTCAGGAAGTCTGCAAAGGCTATAAGGAAAGGCCTTGGTCCGCGCTGTGGTGCGATTATTCCCATAACAACAGCAACCATAAACCGGGCAGGGCAAACAAATTGCTTGGAAACCGCCTGTCGTGGGGTCACCCCGGGGGCAGGTTGGCTTCGGTGGCAAGACTGTAGTCTCCCATGAAAGAGAGGCGAGTTGGAGATGTTGTGGGTATCTCTCGAGCACGGGAGGGGGCATTTTTAAAAAAAAAACCGGGGGGGGGGGAATCGAAGAGGAGACTATTATAAGATAGCAGGAAGGCAAGAACAACTAGACACAAGGACAGTCCCCTCCACCCGAATGCCATCCGCTCTTCTTAACAACTAATTTCCACAACACTGTCAAATAATTTACTAAGACTGTATTACTATTATTCCTTTCTTCCTTACTAGAAATAGAAATAGAATAACAGAGTTGGAAGGGATCTTGGAGGTCATCTAATCCAACCCCCTACCCAGGCAGGAAACCCTACACCACTTCACCACTACTAGTATCTATCTCTTCCCAATTATTACTATAACCATGTGCTTGTATCTTTCAATTTATATTGTTTTTACTTGTTTCTTAGTACCATTTGATAGCTTATTATCAACCTTGACTATCACTTAAGTGTTGTATCATTTTATTCTTGATGAATGTATTTTATTCTTCTTACGTACATTGAGAGCATATACATCTAAGACAGAGGTGGGCAACTATGGCCCTTTTATGACTTGGCTGGCTTTTATTAACATGGCTGGCTCAGGAATTCTGGGAGTTGAAGTCCACAAGTCATAAAAGGGCCATAGTTGCCCACCCCTGACCTAAGACAAATTCCTTGTGTGTCCAATCACACTTGGCCAATAAAGAATTCTGTTCTATTCTAAAAAAAGAGACCAGCTCTGGGGCAGATGCTCATATCAATTAGAGAGCGAGGGTCCTGGGCTACCTGCCTCTGAGCAGGCTTACAGCCTTACCTTTGTTTTAGAAGGAGGCCTCCTTAGCACAAGGGTATTTACAGATGGTCCTCAACCTATGACCACAATCTAGCCCAAAATTTATGTTGCTAGGTGAGAAATTTATGTTGGTAGGTAAGTGAGCTTTGCCTCACTTTACCACTTTTCTTGACACATTTGTTAAGTGAATCACTGTAGTTGTTAAATTAGCAACACGGTTGTTAAGGGAATCTCTCTCCCCCCCCGCCCCCGCTACCCATTGACTTTGGTTTTCAGAAGGTTGCAAAAGGGGGTCATGTGACCCTGGGATGCTGCAACAATCATAAATGGGAGTCAATTGTCAAGGATCCAAATGTAAATCATGTGAACATAGGGATGGAGCAACGGTCATAAGTTTGAAAAATGGTCATATGTCACTTTTTTCAGTGGTCGATACGTGAACTGTTGTAAGTCAAGGACTACCTGTAATGGGCAGATGAATGAACCCTGAGGAAGGAAATATGGTTCTAGCAAGGGTTTAACTTTGGGGAGATTGTGGGGTTGGCTTTCAATTTCATCGTGTCCCCCTTCCCCCTCCCCTTGATTTTAAGTGAAAAGGATTGAGTAGATGGAAAGTAGACAAGATCCTATGGTTGGTTTGTATGCTGTTCCAAGTTTCGGTAGGAAATAATTTGCTGTATAGAAGCCCAAACAGAAACATTACCTTTTGGTACTTGTGATAGTCTCTTTCTCCACCGTGGCTTTCAATACCTGCCCTCTATTTTTTCTTCTGCTTTTATGCTGGGAAACAATGCTGGCTGTAGCGATTTTGGAACCTGAAGCAAAATGTAAGATAATTCCTCCCCCCTTTAGTTTATGTGCTAATAGAAACACAGGTTGGAGGCGAGAAGATGGAATTGGTGCCCCTGTCTAGCTTCTGCTGCACTTCTGCACTATCTGCTCTGATTTAGGGAACATTTTCTTCCAACTAAGTGATTTTAGTAATCCCACTGAGCTCTTCATAAATAATGCATTTTTATTTCAAAGTAGTCATGTTTATTGGAGAGTTTTAAAAGCTTCCCTAATTATCTCTATTTAGAGAAATGCTTTTTTTAAATAAAAAAAATTAGTCCCCGAGTTCTCAGCTCCACACAATAAAGGTTAGAAAAGTATGCCTCACTGCAGCAAGTTGCAAAGAAATCAATCATCCTTTGTACTGCTTTTCAAATCTTGGAGAAAGCACAAAGCCTTCTGAATATGCTATTAATGCGCCTTGAGAGATGAAACGTGCACACCTGCTAGTAGTGTATCACCATCTCTCTACTTGATTTGAAATCCATAACATCACAGTCGCTCAAGTGCTAATAGAGAATATATGTGAGAACTCATGCCGTGCTCCTAAATAGTGATGCAGGAGGAGGGTAAATTGTGATTCCAAACTTAGTTTGTTTCAGCCTTCTACTCATCTTCATTCTGGAGTGGAAGTCTGTCTTTCAGCGGTCTCCTGGGCAGGTTGCTGTCGGAGTTCTGATATGCTTTGGATGCCACTATCCAACTTCCACTCTGGGGAGGGAAGGTTGTAGCAAAGTGTATGCAACCATTAATTTAGGGTTGCCATATTTAATAAGTTATCTCCCCACCTCACTAGAAACCCTGTACAAGAAGTGTGTGTGTGTACACAAATACACACATCTCTCTCTGTGTGTATACACAAGAGAAGAGAAGAGAGAAGAGAAGAAAAGAGGAGAGAGAAGAGGAAAGAAGAGAAGAGAAAAGAGAAGAAGAGAAGAGAGAAGAGAAGAGAAGATATTTGGGTTTCAACATAACAAAAGAGCATGAAAGTTTCAGAATTGGTGTGAATTTATTGAATGGAGCTTACAACCCTTTCTTCATTTTTAGAGTTGAGATATGGAATTTTATTACAATAGGATACCTTCCTTTCTGGGGCAGATATATAATTTATATTTGTTGATAAAGAAATAAAGGGAGTATAGATCTATTTCAAGCTATTTAGCTCTCATTAGCTAGTCATACCCTTACTCAGATTCGAACTTTGCTGTAAATTGGATAAGAAGAAGTTACTTATTTCATACATATTAACAGATGGGTTATGAGATCAAGAATTTTATATTTTTTAACTATGGGGATTTATGTTTCTTGTGACAAGGGGGTGGGGAATCAGTTTCTTACAGGGACATTCTTCTCTTTCTTCTTTTCTCTCCCCCCACTTTCCATCTTGTACTATTTTTAATTGTTCTTTTTAAAAACCTTAATAAAATTATTGCAAAAATCTAGTTACTTTTAAGTTAGAATTACCATATTCTGGTCAGCAGAAATCCAGAAAGCCACTAGAGGGCAGGAAGGAAACATAGGATGCCCAGCTATTTGTTGCCATCTACTGATTTTATCATGTTATTTATTTAAAACGTTTAGATAGTTGCCCATTTTATAACCAACATGGGTAGCTCCAGTGGTGGAATTCATTTTTTTAAATACCGGTTTTGTGGGAGTGGCTTGGTGGGCATGGCAGGGTAAGGATAGTGCAAAATCTCCATTCCCATCCCACTCTGGGCCAGCCAGAGGTGGTATTTGCCGGTTCACCAAACTACTCAAAATTTCCGCTACCGGTTCTCCAGAACCTGCTGAATAGCACCCCTGGGTAGCTCCTAATCAAAAGTAAAAACAACATTGAAACTTTGACAGTGTGGATCTGGTAAGCTTAATTTTAATACTGATGAGCCCAGGAGAAAAACCTTAGACTTAAAATATTGATTTATAACCATGAATAAGAACATATTTTAGGAAATTGGACTACTTAGAGAAGTTTAGGTCCATATTGTTTACTGAATCCTAGTCATTCTCATTGATTTGTGAGCTATGAGAACATATCTTGTTCTCACCTGGTAATAATGGAAAAACTTGGAGCTGCTGCGGAAGGAGACACCAAGGGTCTTATTTTATATTCCCGATAGATTTGATTCCTAGGCAACCATCCTATTTATTAGGCAAAAAATACAGACTTAACTATTAACTTTCTGTGTAGTTTCAGAGTGGTATATGGATGACAGAAGGATTTTTTTAGTCGGCTGCCAAAAATGAGAGGTTTAGCAAAGCACAGTAAAATGTGGCTTTAGGGAATGTCCTGCGAAGTGTTCTGATTGTATAAACATAACCAAACTGTGGGACACAAGCTAATGCAAATTCTCCATGGAATGACTCATAAATAAAAGCAAATTAATAAGTGTATTGTTCCCTCCCCTCATTTGTGCTTAAAAAAGCACAAATATGATCAACACTAAAGAATGCTTTTGAACAAGAATAGCAAGCCATAACTTTGAACACAGCTTATATTTATTAGTTTTGGTTTCTGTGCTTGTTGACCTGTGCTTTGATGACATAGCACATTCATGAGAGTCAATAATCAGATAATTTCTTCCCTCCTCAGGAGACAAAAGTTTTAAAATAAGAATTGCAATTAGTAGTTCCCTTTAGTTAGCAGAAGAAGCAGTAAGGTGATAAAAGGCATAACCTCTTGTTGTTGCCAGACTTCCTGTCTCATCTGAATTTAATAGGAAATTTGGTGTGGTTCAAAATTTATTTAAAATAATTAAATGATAGGCAGAGAGGCATCGTAGTTGGGAGAGTAAAAATTGAGCTATTGTGGATGAATTGCAGAAATCCAGATGACCACAACTCTAATTCTTCACTGTCTCCTAGACATTGTCCAGTGTTTTACAGTGGGATGTGTTACCTTTATTAGCTCATGAAATGTTTATAAGTGTGATGCCTGTCCAGAAAGCAAACAGATGTAAATTATGATCAGCCTGAGGGCCCAGCAAAATTGGCATTTTGTCCTCTGTGTATTGTGTATGTGTATAGTGTCAATGGGTGTACTCGCTGTAGCAGCCATTTTGTGAATTGGCAAGCATCAATTTTGGATAATCTACAACATGATCTCAAATTTCATATATATCTACAATCCCCCTAAAGTTGACTGCTCCTGGTTCAAACAGCTTTATTTTATTTTGCACATTATTTATATGACAATTGAAGGCATGACATTCTATATGTGTATGTATGTACCATATGTATGTATGTGTATTAACTATTGGAATTGGTATCTACCAACTCTCCTTTTGCTTTTTAAATCCAGGATTTGACTGAAAGAGCAAAGATGGAAAATTGTTTGAGTGATTTTTTAAAAATATAAATGGTGTTAAAAGAAGTAGAGAAATGTTCAGGACAGCTGTAAAGTATGTAAACAGCTACTTTGCTGTAGTGGTT